TCTCTCTTCAGAATGAAAAGTATGTCATGATTTTGTCTCTTCTTGCTGTGTATGTGTCCTCAAGTAGCAATCTAGCATTTTAGTGGGACGTTTGAGAGTATTTGTTCTTTAACTGTGTTGCCTGAATGCAAGTGTCTGGCTGAACACTATTTACATGTGGGGTGTTCTAGAGCCTGTAGACGCTATTATTTTGTTTGGCAAGGAGAGATGTTGGAAAATTATTGCTTCCACATATTGTTAATCCTGTAGTAAAATGTCCTGTTCTCTTATGTCTAGCAGTGGAACATCAGGGAGCCATTCCCTTCCCAGTGGGATTTCCTAGTGGGTTTTTAATTCCATGTATTTTAGGGAAATAAGATGTACTACTGATAAAGTAATAGTTTCCTTCTGTTCATGTAGACTGTAAAAATTTGGCAGAGTTTCTTGGTAGTAGACAGGAAAATAAAATGTGAAAATACCTCATTTAAAAACAATTGGCTAGCCTAACTATCAACTGTATCTCACATATAATCTATATCCTATGTATAATTACATAGACATGCATTACATTGCTGCCCTTAAAACATGTTCTAGCCAAAAGAACAGACAGAACTTCCAAGGCATAAAGTCAGTCCTGACATTTTGATTGGAATTGTTGTTCTGGCCAGATTTTTTTTTTTTTTTTTTGAGTTTACATTTTAAATGCATCAGACTTGGCTGGCAGTGAGCCAGGAAGAGTGCATTTCATGAATAGCAGTATGATTAAAGCCAGCACAGCTTCCTCTTCCATGTTATAGGGCTGTGATCATTTCAGTGACAGGAACGTCCTTGGGTGGAATGTGCCATCCTGCCATTTGTGTGGTTCCAATGGGCAAGACCACAGAATTTCCCCCCAGTGTGGGTAGTCACTCAGATCTTTAAAAATAGGAGGAAATAAATTGCTTGTTTATTGGGGCTTTAAAATAAATTTATTAAGTATGCATTTGCAGTAATTTGTTTTAAGTTAAATTAATTGGTTTTAAATTAAGTTATCTTAAGAGAGTTCAGTCATTTTGCTTTGCAAGTATCTTTGCTTACACAATGCTAAACCCAAGTCAAATTAGGAATAAGTAACCTGAATATTACATGGACTGCCACCCTCCTCGTTCTGTTACTATGGATCATTTTGTTTGCTTGATGAATGGACAGAGGAAGTTGATATATACATTTTTTTTTGATCTAAGTGGTGCTCCTCATGGAGCCTGCTGTACAACTCTTAGTTGTTTAAAGATCAATTTGAAGTAGGTTCCTTTAGTTCATACCTAAGTTTATGCAGAAAATGTTGGCGAGGCCCTGCCAAAGGAAGATGGTTTGTTCATTCTCCACTGTTGATGATTGAAGTGCAGTTTGCATTTTCTAGAACAGATGCAACTCTACAGCTCTGTCTCATGTTCATTACCAAGGCTTACTCCTCACCTGAGAAGCAGAAACAACACCTCGCCGTTGGTCTAGCTGGCAGTCTGCTGCATTTGTATCTGCTGCAGGCAAGGCTATAAAGCATCCTGTTGCAGTCACCAGTGGGAACATTTATCTGCCTTGAAAAAGAAATGAGAACTCCTACTTTATTTTACATTAGCTGTCGAATAATAAGGGGGGGGGGGGGCGAAGTTTGGATGTTCTTTGTGGTTTAACTCTCACTCTGGTTGAAGCATGAAAGGCTTCACAACGCATTTCCAAATGTTCAGGAACCTTTTCCCTCAATAACTGGCATGTAACTATCCCAATAATATTCTTGAGTGTACAAGTCTGACCTTAACAGCAGGTGCTTAAAACATTCTTGTCCAAGGAAAGAAATCCTTATCTTTCTGAGGGTTTACTCTGAGAAGTATAAATATTTATTTTTGAAAGAATGCTGCTTTAAAAAAAAATGGCTCTTAGAAGATATATGTGCTCAAATGAAATTACTTTTCAGTTCTACATTTCAAAATGAAGTAGTACAGTACGAGAAATATCATCCATATCATCCATAGGGGTTTTTTCCTCTGTGGGGTTAACCTACTGATGAAAATTGAGAAAAGTGAAAAGTATAGATGAACAAACATATGGTGCTGCTATACAAGCACATGTTTCTAGAAATCTGTATACATATATGTGTGTGTGTGTGTGTATATATATATATATATATATATATATGAACAACTTGCCAGACAAATGATATGCTTTTTTTAGTTTTTTAATTCATAATATTTAAGAAGAGCACAGAGTAAAATTCTTCAGAGTCTTCTCTGTTTGGTAAAAGTTGAGTAACAATTCAACAATTCTAGGGTAGTCTTTCCATCTGCTTTGCTTTTTCCATAGTGATGTTTTTTCACAACTGAGTGTTTGTTCTGGAATAAATACATGCAGATAGAATTGACTGAGAGTAATTTGACCAGTCAATGTACCTACATATGCAAATACCCAAATGTTGATATGCTGAAGTTACAGTGTGCAGTTTTTTGAAATGCAGGGTCACCTTTAACTCATTTATGACTATCGGTATAAAAGATGTTAGCTCATAGAATCATAGTATTGTTTTGTACTTGCAGCTTGGAGAGGCAAAAAGGAAGTGTTTGATTGTGTTTGTCAGCAATACAAAATAATCTGCTGYTGATCAGCTTTGTCCTTCTCATGCAGTCACAAGGACAGGGCATCTGTAGGCCACGTTTTAGAACTCTGCAGGCTACATTTGGTCTTTGGGCTGCATGTTGAGCAATCCTCACTTAAAACCTACGAGGCAATTACCTACAACATGCTCGAAGATGAGACCTTCCAATCTTGTAAGATTATTTGGTGTCTGCTGGTTGCACTCTTAAAACACGATCACATCATTACATTCATCTGAAAAACCACCATAACTGCATTTATCGTATTTGATCATTGACCCATGAGAATTCCGCTTCATGCTCTTCATCCTGCTTCACAAAAAAAGGACAACTCTGGAAACCAGCACTTCTTATCTTGTGTAAATAACTGTGAATATGGAGTGTGTTAAAGCACAACAACAATAAGTGGGCACAGATAGGAACATGTGTTGACCATTTAGGAGAGAAAAGGTATTGATTTGCTTCTTTGTGTGCCCGGTATCTTTGAGTAAAAGAGCAGGTGGCTATAAACATGGATATATGTGTGTGTGTGTGTGTGTGTCTCTAGCTATGGTTAGTTTTTTTGAGAGTGTTCCTGTTGGGGTTATTGGAAAACCAACTGTGTATAAAGCTTTTCTGCTTTAATCTTTTGTGCACCACACTTGGGTTTATGTGGGTTATACTCTTTATGCATTCATTTTGCACATCTAAGAAATGCCTTTCCCAAGTAAAAATGTCACATTTGTAAATGGTGGAKGGAGGGTGTTTATGTATTTAATTGTTTTTAAAATCACCAGTAGTTTCATAGAGATTGTCAGTTTAGGATTCTACAGTGTTTGCTTTATGAGATGCTGTTTTTTCTTTGCATGTCTTTTTGTTTGTGTGATATTAACAAGAGAAAAGGCTTTTGAAAAACTGGTAGTTAGTCACTATTGGAAATTGTTATTAACCAGAATTTGTCCTTATCAGTTTTTGCTGTTACAAAATCTGTTTTCTTACATGGAGTTGAAAGAGTGCCTTTTCCCAAGAGTGCACTTCAGCTACAGTTTAGAGCAATCACATTGGTTCTGCTGCAGTTCTTTTTTCTCTCTGCATCCTCAGCCACTTGTACCCATTTTTCCCCCCTGCATTGGTTCCCACAGTAAAGCAATTCAGAGGACTGAMGTGGAAGAAGTCTAACCCAGAAAATAAATGTGCCTCCTACTTTTGCAGAAAAATTCTGAAGCGAATACTTTGCACTTAATTTTTTTGGTACTGAATGTTGCTTTTTCTCTCTGTAGATCCATGCAGGTTTACAGTATGTAACCTAGAAGTGTGATGCACATTTTCATTTAGATTTCAGGCTTTTCATGTCTATATCTTATGAGAATGTTTTTGTACTTAGTACAGCTTTAAAGGAAGAATATTAATTGTGCAGCTCCAGAAAGTGCTGAACTAAGTCAGGAAATATCGATAAGTTTGAACATTCAACCATATATAATCCTCTTTGTATGTTTACATTAAAAATAAAATCTTCAAATCTACAGTTAGATTGGTTTTATCATCTACCCTCTTCATATATACCACTCTGTTATCTGTGATCCTCCTATGCATCCTATGTATCCTGTGTCTATGTATCCTATGCAGCTCTGTGTTCAGTGTGGCTGCTGGAGTTAAAATGTTACAACCCTTTGTAAATTAAAGGCTGGTTCCAGACTACTCACTTTTCTTACCTGAGTAGTCATTGAAAAGGAGGAGACACCTCAAAAAAGGAGTTTGGTCCCACATACCTTGGACACCCTCTGAGAGCAGCCCTCTTTGTCTATTGACCATAAACAACAGTTGTGTATTGGATCAGATGTCTGGCAGGCACAGGGATGTTAGGTGAGGTGAGCTGGAGAGTTAATGATCTATTAGCTCAGTTACTGGGGGAAAGATAAAATTGCTTTTGTAGAGTGAAAGGAGAGAGATAATCACAAAAAACATTAATAACATATAGCTGTAAAAAATAATGAAGTGAGGAGGAAGGGAGTTGGAAAATGTTATAGCTAAGATAGCTTTTAATTTTTGTTTAGAAATGCATTGTTTTAAGATGTCATTGAAAGACTTTGTTGATCCTATTATTTCCAAATACTCTGATGCAAAGAAAACCCCTTTTTTGAGCCTTAGGATGTTGCTTATTCAAGGTTAACAACATGGGAATGATCTGCGTAAACATTTGCCTATTTTACTCTTAATTTTTAATTTTGCAATTGATCCCTTGAATACTGTTTCTTACACTTCCTATTRTGGCAGAGGAAGTGAAGCATCTGCTTAGTAACCAAAGGCAAATTATGGCTTAGACCACTATAGCTGTGGATTACAGGCAAAGAAGCAATTTTAGTTGTCAATGGGTTTCAGCAGAGGTCTCTTTAAATTGTTTCTTTTTCTCCTATAAAGAAACAACTCAAATAGAAGATCCCAGGAAACAATGGCGGCAAGAACAAGAGAGAATGTTAAAAGATTATCTTACAATAGCCCAGGATGCTCTCAGTACCCAGAAGGAACTGTACCAGGTGAAAGAACAGAGACTAGCACTTGCACTGGATGAGTATGTACGGTTGAATGGTGCCTACAAAGAAAAATCAAGCTCTCGTACAAGCTGTAAGTACAGTAGAGAATACAATGTAACTTCTTTGATCTCTACCTTGCAGGGGTTCCTGTTTGTCTTTCTTTTTTTTTTTTTCTTTCTCATCCTAGAGTTTGCATGGCTTGCTAGGAACACCTTGTACTCTGGCTTCTTCAGAGCTAGAATCCCTACATTATTTATTTATTTAAGATAAAGATATTCTGCTGGAGACGACTCTTTTCTCTCTGATACAATTGAACTCCTTTGAGCCATGATTTAGAGCGGTTGGCCCAGAAATCTATTTTGTCATGCAGTTTATCRAGACAAAATTCTGCCAGATCTAAGTTCAAAGTAAACTCTTGCCTTCCTGGCTGCCTAGTGAGATGACCCTTCTGTGTTTACAGGCATCTGCAATAAGAGCAGGAAGGGAATTTGTTGCTGATTTGTAAGAAGAGCAGACAATAATTCTGTAACCTGTGTGCTGTGACATGGGGTGATAGAGATACACGTTGTTGTCTTGGGTAGGGAATCAGCATCTGGTAAAGCACTGTCACAGGCCTGTTACTGGCCAAACACCTCTCTTAGAAGTAGATAGTGTACAAAAGGAGCATGTGCATCTGTAGAATTGAATGCCAGATCYCTGAGACTTCTGAATAAATCTTCTGCTTTCCTAAGATCTCCTTAGAAATTATAACTTTAAGGAAGCAAGTGWTTGAAAGATGGCTCAGCTAGAAGAGTAGGATCAGAAAATAAGGAATAGAAAGTCAAGGAGAATGAGAGTCTACATAAGGATCCTCGGATAAGTAAAAGAGAGATACGATATACTGGTAGGGGGAAAATGGGGAAATTTTGATTATACAGTAATCACTGCCATAATAGAAATAAATAGATAAAAATCACTGCCATAAAGCTGCAATAATAACTACTCCATAAAAGGCTAGCTTTTAAAGTATTATATATTTTTGTGCATATTCTAGGTTTTTGATCAATGTGGATTCATCAAAGAAGGCACTAATTAGTGATTTAAAAGTACTTAAATATTTGTCTTTCTTATCTTTTTAATAAAAGTGTTTTCAGGCTCTTCATCAAGCACAAAGTATGACCCTGACATTCTGAAGGCTGAAATCTCCACTACAAGATTAAGGGTGAGTCCATTAACTCATATTCATTTGGATTCTGTCTGCCAAGTTTATTATTACAGAATAGGCATAGCTTGAACCAGCAGATGTATCTTGTACTCTGGTACTGAAACCTCCTAGTATTCTAATTAGATACCATTCAGAGGTTTAAAATTATTTTTTAAAGCTGTCTCTGGTACTTTCAGATAACACATTTTTGGGAACCTTTGACAGATATTCTAATTAGATGTAGATTTAAATAAATCTGATAACTATTTTCAGTTGTATGCTTTTCTTTTTTAAAGGAAGAGTAAAAATAGAAAAGTAGTAGGCTAAGGCGAGCTGCAGCTAGATACCTGTTTTTACACAACCTTTCTTCTGTGAAAAATGCATCATTAGCTACTTGAACTGCCTCAGAAGTTCCTGTTGGCTTGAAAAACACTTTTCAATAATGGTGTGAAACCTTTCTGTTATGTCAAAATGGAACASTTCCGATCAAGGATGAAAGTTTATGTTTGCATTTTGAAATTGCTAATGAGCACAAATCCATGATTTGGTCAGTAACAGACTCCATACAAAGAACTTTTATTCACAGCTTAGTCCCTAGTGAATTTATCCTGAATAAGGAAGAAATAATGTGGAAGACATTTAAAATATCTATAGGGACTTCATTTATTTCAGCTGTGGCATATAATGCTTTATGGATAGCCTAGACCTTCTGGAGGAGTAATGAAAAAAATTACATCAAAGCCTGCAGATTAAAAAGACAGCACCCCACAGCATAGTTCTTCTATGTGGGCTGGAATACAGAGTCTGGGGGAGAGAAGCAGCAAAAGTGACAGCATTTACTGAGCTCTTCCATTGCCCTCTCCTGGTTTCTGCACAAAGCAGCACTCATAAATGCCTCAGAGAGTTATTCCTTCTTCCCCTGAAATAAGAGTTGTGATTAGGAATCTAAACAMTTCATGTTTAAAAGGAACTGTGGAATAGCTCATTAAACTTTTAAAGCCCAGTATAAATCAGGGATGGAATGCACTCTAAAGCTTGTGTCTCGATGTTGCCCTCCTGACTACCTGTACACCTGTTCATCCTTACCAATCTCAATTTATAGTCCCTTATCCATTAAGGCAAGTGGTTAGTGAGGGAATTTGAATGCTGGAGGTTGGAAGACAAATTTTGTAAACTCAGTAGGGAGAATCAAAGGTAGTAAGGACCCTATCAGGAGCAAGAAAAAAAACACAAGGCAATAGCATTTTTCTAAAATGAGAGGAACATGTTCCCTTTGGCAAGACAATCACCAGTATATTTAGGATATTGACAGTGTTGTTGAAGAACAAAACACAGGATGAAATTTATATATATTCATCTACTTGTCAGAGAGGGGAAAATTCAGGCATAATATTGTGCTCACTTTTTCCCATTAGCACTGAATGCAGATCTACAGTTTGCTCACTGAGGAGAGAGTCATATGKGTTAATCACAGTAATTCACTTTTTGGACGTGCTTTTCTCTCTTGATTGTTTCTTGGGGTCAAGGAGCCTAATATTCTGGTTCCCAACACCTGATTTATTGGCATTGCAAAGTCCTGCATAAGTGCCTAAAATAGGTGACCTGAATCTTGTCTGCAGAGTTTAGAAGGGTGCAGTCCGAGAGTATCTGTATCAGCATAAAGTGTGTGGTCATCCAAAGCCACTGGAAGTGAAAATTGAGATAAGAAAAATGGAACCCTGTGATACTAGGGCTGGAAAGTGGTTGTCATAGAAGATGGCAAGAGAGGTATGGCTGTTATCATAGTTTACCCTTCTTTGAATGTTTGAAGATGCTTGCTGATATGCCAACTTTAGGCATTGTGCTGTATATGCATGCATGGACTTAATGAGAAACAAAGTTAGTCATTAGTAAGCTCCTAGCCAGCTACTTAGGATTTGCGTATTGTTAGATCAGTTGTACTAAACTTGTTTCTCTCGGTATCCGAGTCATACTGGTATCATCAGGTTAATGATGGTTGGAGGGGGAAAATTCAGCATTCGAAGAGGTTCTGAATTGTCCTTTGGCCCTTTTCTTGTTAGCTGTGTGTAATATATGCATGTGGCAATTTCTGGATACATGAATTGCCTATTGTGCAATAGGTCAGGGAGAAAATATGACAGAAATCAGACAGCTGTTAAATGAAATAGCAGGAGAAGAAAGATTTTTCTCACCAAACTAAAATTGAGGCCTCAGATCCAGCCGTAGACTTTGAGTGGGGCCATTTGGGGTCTTAATTAGTAATCAGTAAGATAACTCAAACGGCACAAAGCATGTGTGATCACAGTAAGTGGTATGCAGCAAGTGAATAAGGAATGCACTTTTATAAAATCACAAGGGATGGTGGGGCTGGGGAGAGTGGCCTTGTTCCATTAGTACTCGAGTGCTGGGAATAGAAGGGGCTTAGCACAGGAGCGTGCTTGAAGGTGCAGTTGGAGTAGGAAAGAGAGATCTGTCAGGAGACTGAAGATAATGTGCAGAAGCAGTAGGAAGGGCGTGAATGTTAAAGCAAGTGAAGAGTTGTGGAAAAGCAGGTATTATATAAAAGTTTTGAAGGAGAAGACAAGGAGCCTAAGAATAGTTTAATGGAGGCATGATGCAGTAAACACAGAGGCTATATTATGATGTAGGTCACATCCTTCTAGGATAATGCGCCCAACTCACATTTCTTGATAATGAAATGATGATGAAGTACAGCAGAGGACACTCAGAAGATGATCTTGAGGAAAAATGTAAGAGTTTCTGAGAGAGCTAATCCTCTAAGTTGAAATCAAGTATGCCTTCTGCTATTAATATAAATACATGTTTCTGATTTTGAAATAAAAAAGTTTAGCCATTCTGTATTTTTCAGAAAAATTCAGACTTGTTTCATATTTTACACATCACTTGAGCTGGAGCACAGAGGTGATATCTGTTCATTTTCCTTAACCTTCATCAGAACACTTGAGAAATATTCTTGGGGTTTTCATACTAGTCAAGGAGGAAATAGTTAAGGAGTCCTCAATGTATGCTTAGAGAAGTTGTCTGTTTGTCATGCAAACTATTTGGTATGGTCAAAATAAAAATGGTTTTCTGTTTTTACAGTGAAGTAAAGCAACTAGCGATGATAGTGAGATTGTTTCCAAAAAAGCCTGACCCTAACCCCTCATCCACAGAATAGATTTTGCTTTGAAGAAAATTGAGATTAAAAGCATTTTATTTTTGTCACAGAAAATTCATTAGCCAGAAACTGCAAATTGGAATGTCTAAATATCATGCACAAACCCCTACAAAGACTGTACAAATCACTACTTACTTTAGAAATTTAAAGCATTTTAAGTCTCTTAGAATCAGCAGCTGCTGCAGCTTTCTGAGTCCTTTTAGTCACCCGGCATGCTGGAAATCATGCTTTTAATTTTTTTTTTCTTCTTAATTCTTTCTTGGTTTTTTTTAAGAATATCAGCAAGTAGGAAGTTAGGGGGATTTGGATACAAAATATCTTGGAGACATATTTTGAAATTAATTTCACTTAAAGTGGTCTAAATTCTTGATATTCAACTCTTGAAAAATTTATTGTCATAATAACTAAGTAGCTTATAAAAACAAGAATTTTACAGAGGTAGGTGACAGAAGAAGACTTTTAGCTTTTTCTTTTTCCAATTTTCATTGGAAAATTAGAAAGCCTAACAATATCTGACTAGTATGTAGAGTGCAAATGAGTCAGCTATAGATGCATAAATACCAAAATTTTGAACTCCACACTTCAAGGAGGCATTTGTCTCTATGGATATGCTGATGATAAATTTGTGTTTAAGTACATCCATTTTTAGATGATTCCTAAAACTTTGTTTCATACATTTGGGAAATATGACATTAAAAATTAACTGGAGGATTTTTAAATTTAATCTTGATCCATAAATATTTTGTAGTGTACTCATATCTGCTGGCATGTGAAATAGTAATATTAAGGTTAAGAAGCAATTGACCATGCAAATTTAGGGAAAGTAGGGAATATTTTTCCAAAGACATTTCTATTATATAGATACATATATTTGTGATTCAAATGTTTTTAGTGATTATTATCTTTGGCTTAAGTGAGTGTGAATGATATATTTAGGGATCCAGTGTCTGCAAAACTTTAAGAAAGGATGGTTCATAGGGGAAAAGATGAGTCCATTTTGTCTTTTACAGTGCAAATGACTGAAGAGCTTCCAGGAATTAAAAGTGAAAATATTATAATAAGACTAAAAGTAAACGGGCATGTCCCTGAAGGACAGTTGGAATGCATGCTTAACAAGTGAGAAGTAAATTACTTGTTAAAGTTCTCTCAGGTTTAATAACACAGTGTGGTATCAATACAAATAAGGAATGTGATTTAATCTGCTTGTGTCCTTTTAATACTAAAGCATGTTGCCCGTAGACATCAGGAAGAGAACAGATCCTTTTTTTTTTTTTAATGTGTGTCAGTAGAGCAATTTACTCTTTTTCTCTCATCTGATGTAGAGCATACATTAATTGTTCAAAGCCATGTGTAACATCGTTTAACAAGAGGAATTTTCTAACTCTTGCTTTGATTTAACGCACAAGGTTAAGAAGCTGAAGAGGGAGCTCTCTCAGATGAAGCAAGAGCTGCTGTACAAGGAACAGGGCTTTGAAACACTGCAACAGTGAGTAAAAGAAAATAGAAGAAACTGACTTAATTCAGTCACTTGATTTATTTTCTTTGTAATGGAATTGAATCGGTTTTATCTGAGAGGATTGTGAGGGAAAAGGAGAATCTAATGATTCTGTTGTAGTTAGGGAACGGGAAATCTGTAGAAATGACAACCCTTTTGTGCAAGTGCAAACATGAGAAATTTGTCTCCCCTCATATTTTTTTTTCCATGGGGCAGCTTGTGTTGCAAAGAGGCAGGAAGAGAGGCAGCCGTCAGGGGTCCCGAGGACAAAATCAGGTGCTCTGTGTGTCTGATTGAAATTTTTTTATAAAATTTTGAAAATGTACTTAGGTACTAGTTCTCTCTTTCTTTCCCCCTTCCCCACCTATGAGCTCAAAACAGAAAGAAGAGTGCTGGTTTTGGAGGTATGAATGGTACACAACTCTGCAGGGATTGAAATTAGTCACAATTTGAGGATTAGAGACCTGACTTACTTTGTTCCAGTTGCTGGAATGCCTGGTGTCCAAAGAGCTGATGCTGAGCCGGGTGAGCTTTCTGGATGYTTAACCAGTTAGATTGCTAGGGAATTAATTTTTTTCAGTCTGAGAACTCCCYGCTGCTCCTGCCTTACAAAATTAGGCTCTAAAATATTAAACTACTGGAACTGTCACCATAAAGAACTTGGTGCGGAGGAAACCTTACTAACAAGTGTGTTTTTTTGACTAATGTGAAGAGAAATTTATTAATGCTAGTTGTTTTCCACTCTGTGGTATGTACCCATACATTAAGGGTACATTCACACAGTAAAACGCTGAGCTGTTTGTTCTTAGTACAGTTGCAGAAGCAGCATTGCAGCGTGATGTTGCCTGGGTACGTTTACCCTTTTCTTCAGGACCTCCTGTGTTTGGCAGGATACTGTCAGATACGTAATAATCTCTGTCTTGGAGAGCTTGCAGAATATGCAGGGAAAATGGACAAAAGGTGGGAAAAGTCCAGGCAGAGGATTAAATGCGGAGAAGTGATTTGCAAAGGATGACACAACATCTGTGTTTGGAGCTAAGAGATTGCAGTTCAGTTCCCAGTTCTARCCAAGGTATCTTGAAAACTGTTGCCTGTGTATTTTGATAGATCAGTTCTATAAAATAGGCATTTTTTTAACTGTGAGAAAGAAAATTGGGTCCGCGAGGTAACCAGTCATCATTAGAGACATATAAAAATACATGAAAAATGTGGGGGTTTTGTATGAAGAGTCTGAAATCAGCTGAGAACTGAAAATCCTCAGCATCTTAGAAAGATGCCAGTTAAGTCTCTATCCTCCTTCATTTTGACTAAAACAGAAATGTAAAATTTGTTTATTATTTAAACATATAAAGATGAGCAAGGATAGTTGATTGAATTTAACCATGAATCAGATCTCATTTGTAGTAAAATTTAGAAGAAGAAAGACATATTGAATCTAAAGCTTAAGGTATTAAAAACTCATGATGCTGTCCCAGGATTAAAGGTTAGCCAATCATGCTGGTTTTATTCTATTAATTCAACAATGAAGTATTGTTTTAAAGCAGCTTGCTCACAAGCCATTTTGATAGGAATCCAAAGCATGTTTCAGAAACTGTCAACAGCATTCCACAGAAACACAATGGACATTTGTTTTTAAAATTCAGTCAGCCACTTTCAAACAGTACTAATCCCATTAATTTAAAACAGGATGATGGAATATCTTATATATCAGAGATCCTTCTTGTCTATCTTAATTATATACAGAATAAAGCGGTTGCAATTTGAATGTGGCATGTCATATTACCAGACAGCATGTGGTGTATTACCCAGCTGTTCATTCATGATCCCAATTGTTGGCATATCCTGTATCTATTTGACCTTAGCAACCTGATAAGTTACCAAAACTGGAGAGCTGTCAGACAGTAAGTGTCCGCCTAGGAAAGAGTTTGAGGAACTTTCAAGCTGAAACAATTATATCCTTGAATAGGAATGATTGCCAAGTCACAGAGGTAATTTCCTTACACATAAATGCAGTTTAGTTTGTACAAAAATTAGAATGTAGAGAAAGGAGAACAGACATGCTCACAGTTTTACAGATCTTTAGAACTTTGATATTTTTGTGGCCAAAACTTGGAGAAAAATAGAATACAGTTACGGGTGTTTTGTGCAAGTTGCTGTTCTTGCAGAGGATGCTTGAGATCACTTCTTATTTGCTCATTCCTCACTCACAAGATAGTTAACTTCCAGCAAAGATGATGGATGGTGATAAAAAACAGAAAAATGATTGAATGATAAAAGAATGTATTCTCTACTAAATGCTTGATTTTTGTCAAGATGGCTATTGGTTTTAATTTTTGAAGCACAGCTGCAGTCATTTCCATGATGCTATGAAATGTTCAGTTAAACTAGAGACCAGAGAAATGTGTTTACAAACTGTAGTTCTTGACAGAAATGTGGAAATACTAAAATGATAAAATGAATAATTTCTTTATCTCTAAGTTTAGGAGAGGGTTTTTTTATTGTTTCCAAGTTACAGTTTCTAAAATCATTGGTAGTTCAGAAATTTAATGAATTGTCCAATCTATGACATATGGTATTAATTATCCAGAGATTTTGTGCATAAAGAGAGCCTGGTGACTGGCGGAGCAGAACAGCTGTTCCAGACAGTTAATGCCCTGCATTAGGGTGAACTGGAGGGAAGCTGAGACAAGAATGTGCTGGTTATGTTTCTGCTCAGAAAGGCTGATTAGTACCAAGAAGCCTGCCTGTCTGCCCATGTCCCAGTGTGGGTTTGGACAGAAGGATACTGCTTGTAATAAATTCTTCTTCTGTAAGGAGAAACAACAGTTATTAGTATGAAAAGTGTACCTAAAAGCTGTTTCTGTGCTKCAGAGGGTTATGGTGGGAAGGGGAATTTTGACAGTATTGTCAGCAATAACTTTGTGCTCCTTTACATTTTTGCCAAGGATTAAGTAGTATTTGAATGGAGATTTCAATGTCATTTTCCCTTTCCCCGTCAGTTGCAGGAAATGGTCTCATCTCCCTCCCTTCTGTTCTCTAACTCTGCTTCTGCCTGAAGTAGAGCAGCAGAGATATTAGTATGACTTTCTCTGTCTGGTATTAATATTCTCTTCTTTTCACAGAATTGACCAAAAAATGTCTGGAGGCCAGAGCGGGTATGAACTGTGTGAGGCCAAAGCTATCCTGAAGGAACTGAAGTCCATCAGAAAGGCGATCAGTTCAGGCGAGAGAGAAAAACAAGATTTAATGAAGGTATTTTGATCGGTTAATGCAAGTTCTGTGTGGATTTCTTTTAACATGACTCACTTCCCTGATGATAAATACTTTGCATTTTATCCTTTTAAGGGACTCTCAAAATTCGTTGAGCCAAACTAGTATTAAAATCAAATTTCAGATGCAGAAACTGAAGCCTGTGACGTTCCTAGTTCAAAAAGCTGCTCTATGTCAGAGAATATATATTATTTTGGAACTTGTAAGGTATGATGCATATGTTATCTCTAAAGCACAATTTAGAATATTAAGTGGACAAAATTGATATGTGTTCTGAAATACTTGACCATTTTCTAAATCAATGAAAGTTTTCCTAATCCAAATTGTTCTGTTTCCATTCCTGAAAGCAGACTTCTTTTTTTTAATCAGCAAAATACATAATTGGTTCACAAATTAAAAAACATGAAGTCCCAAAACAGATACAGTAGCTTTTACATTTTCACAGGTGCTAACACATGTTCACACTTAATGTCACCTACTAATTCTTGATTAAAAGGATGGGTTGTTTAATATGAAATAAACACAGAATTTTTGTAGTAGAGCCTTTTATGTAAATATCTTTTGGAGATAAACTGGTATAAACATGGTAAAGTGCAAAGAAACTTAAATGCCTCTTCCTTTTCTGTTTCCTGGACAGAGTCTTGCAAAGCTGCGGGAGAARTTCAGTATTGACCAAACCACTGAAACATCTGAACCAGACTTAAGTTCTAGCTGTGTAAACTCCCAGGTTTGTTTCCCTAGACAAACTCTGGATACAGGGTCTCAAACTGACATTTCTGGTGAGGTAAGCTTTTTTTCTATTTTGTCCAGTGTAAAGAGAAATTGAAGCAGAATGCTACAGTTAATGGAATTGGAATCGAGTGTCTGTTCGCTGCTGCAGATAGCATATATATGTATACTTGCTTCATAGAATTACTTAGAATCACTCACACTGGAATTACTGGTCTGATATTTTCCCCTTGAATTTTAAATCAACGTTCAGATGAACTTTATATATTTGTCATGAAACATTTATGACAATCTGATTTAGTCAAATAGGTCCAGTACAGTGAAGGTGGGAGAAGTGAATAGTATTTTTTTTTATCTGTCTGTAGGATATGTTTCAAATTTCAGACTTAAGTAAATATGAAGCTTCTTTTTAATTTTCAGGAAAAAAGGTCTCAGAATTTAAATGCGTGATTTCATTTCATACAGCTGAAAAACTGTTCATGGAACTACTTCAGTGATTTAGTAAAACCTTGTTTCACTGTTGGTATATTTTGCATACACAGAAGGTTGTTTAATTTTGATACCTTCTTTAAAGCTCTGCAAGCAAAGTTTGTAAGAGAGTATACAAGGTTTTCCAGACAAAGAGTTTGTCTGTGTTTTGTAACAAATTTAATATAGTCTAAATTTGAAAAGCACTGACATAGTTTGAAATTCTGAGTTCAGCAGAATTCAAAGTAGGAGATCAGAATTTTCAGTGCAGTTACTGCAAGACTTCATAGAAAATCCTCTGGCTTTACTGGAATATGGGCAATTGGTAGTACAGTAGTTAAAAATATATGAAGTGGSTCAGAAGAAAACAGCACTGTTTTGTACATCCGAGTAGATGATATCTTAAATAGGCATTTAACTGCATGTGTGGGGCTGGCTGGGGGGGGGGACAGGGACTAGTTTTATTGTTCTTTAAGCTGTAATTTTTCTAGCCTCTGCCTAGGTTTTGTTGGTTTTTTAAAAGTTTTGCATGGTAACCAGGCTACATTTTTTTCTCCCCCCCAATAGATTGGAGCAAGAAGTAGATCGAATTTAGCAGAGAAGGTCAGACTCAGTCTGCAGTACGAAGAGGCCAAGCGCAGGTAACGGGGGTCGGTGGGAGCGTGCGGCCGCAGCGCGGGCCGGGGGCGCCCGTGGCTCCAACGCTGTGCTCGCAGCGACATCCAGCGGGCGACATCCAGGGCTGCGGGAACGCTGCGGCTGCTCCTTAGCAGGATGTGTTCAGAAACAAAATTACAACAGTGGCAAATTACCGGCAGTTCCAGGATTAAGGGAATAGAGTGATCTGGCTTTCTGATGAAAGCAGTCGCCAGGTTATTTATTTCCATTATATCCTTCTTCAAGATCATCATTTCACTTTACTATACCACTAAAGCCAGACTTCCAGTGCAGATTTAGTAGGCTTAATTATTTCTTTTTTTCCCCTGGGACTTTGGATAATTTAAAAACTTGTTATCGCTATGGATTGGGGTTTTTTTCATTAGTTTAATGTGAGGAGAAAAGACATCAGGAACTGCTCTGCTGATGAATGTGGAATGCCTTTCAAATAAAGTTCTGTGGTGCTTGCTGATGAAAGTGGTGCCATTTTGATGAATTGCCAAAGCACTGGAAAATGGGCATCAGAAAGCAGAACATTCAGGGTTCAAATGATGTCTTCTGGTGCAGCCAAAGTGCTGCATAATACTGGGGCAAGATTTACTATAGGAATAGTGCTCTTGTGTGGTATTATTTTTTAATATATAATTATAATATATAATGTATAATATATCATTCTTTTCTAATATATGTACTTCTAATACTTGTTGCCAAATTAATTGTCAGCAGCTCAGAAGCCTTATTGTTTTTGTTATGGAGGTCTTTATMATTTAAGCCAAAATAGAATTCTAAGCATTATTCCACATCCAAAGTTGTTTTTAACTAGGAAGAACTAAACAGACCAACAAAATAAAAAAGATACCATTTTCCCCAGATAAAAACTGGGCCTAAAATGCCATTTAATCTGAGATTTAAGTATTATTTCAGTTGGAAAACTCTGGTATAATAATTTAGAAAACTATAAAAATAAATGTTCAACTTCTAAGTGCCAAGTAATAGCATAGTTGCTTTTAGATTTTAAAGTCAGGAGCCTGCATACTTATGTTTTTGTCTAATTTCAAATGTGCATACAGAGTAGAAGCTACCATCCTTACCAATAATCCTTTATATCCYCATGATGGATCATAAAACCTTATTGTATAATCAATGAACACTAAGTCTGTTGTGTTTGTTCAGTACTGAACATGCATTATTTTGGCTGAAAATCATCATGTACGTTATGTTAATTGTCAGGTAGTCATTTGGATGCAGGTAGGTGGCATTGTTTCTCAAGTGTTCTTGATCCAAAACTAGATCATCTCTGTATCAAGACTGTGTCTTGATACCAAGAAGTCCCAGCATTGCATTTTGTCTTCCCTTTTCAGGAACAAAAATCTTCAGTTTGCTGCTTCTGTCTTGGACAGGGTGGGGGGATGCAGGGGGAGAGAAAAAAGAAGAAGCAGGATAGTGCTCAGAGTATGGAGTACTTCGACACAGGATCTTACTTTCTCTTAAATTACTTAGCCAAGAATATGGGTTGAAATTTCATTGTATGTCACTTGTAATAATGAAGATACATACTAGTTTGCACCTGACATTCAGCACCTAATTACATYCCGCCCCTAAATATTGTGGCCACTGCAACCATAACCATAGTTTAGTAAGTGTTGACCATCTTTTTTTAAATATTAAATGTGAAATTTCTCAATTATTTTGTGGTAAAATAGCTAAGGTAAAGAGAGGATCTTGTAAGTGATCTTCTCTACTTGAAAATTATTGACTAGTTTGGTACATTGCAGATTTGACATTGTTTAGCCAGCAGAATGTCTTGAAGAAGTGGAGTGTTCATAACTGTGCTGAATTCAGTTGCAATTGTTATTCAGAAGGGTCTGATATGCATATATATGTGCTGACAATCCTATCCTGATGTGGTGAAGATCTAGCTAATGTTCCTTTTTGGCCTGTTGTGGTATCCCACCCTTAAGGGAAATGGAGCACCCAMGATTCCTAGATGCCCACAGTCAAAAAGGTCAGACAAAAGTCATAGAGACTGCAAAAACTTACAAACTTTTATAAGAAATTATATATAGAGCATGGAAATTGGGATGTTAGTCCCTGACCTCCTAGTATAAACAAGGGGTGATGGATTTTGAATAGGGCACAGGATAAAATGGGAGAGGGAGCGAAAGGAAGAAAGAGAGACAGCAGAAGGACACAAACATCACCAGTCCTGGCTCCAGCATAGATCCATCTGATGGGGTGTCCAGGGTCCTGGGGGCACCACCCAGGCATTGTGGGGGTACCAGTTTATGGCCAAGCTGTCCTCGCCCTGGAGTTACGTTTCTTGCTTTCTATGCAAATTAGCTATCATGAGCAGTCTTTCCTTTTAGATCTTTCTGGAAATGGGTTGAAGGCTTCAGGGGCTTTGGTGGGCTTGATCCCTCCTTTCTGCAATGGGAACAGCAATCGCACAGACTCAAACTGTTGAGTTCATCTCTTTTYCCTTAAGGCAGCTGCTGTCGTATTGCCTTTTTCTTTAATTGCGTAGAAGAGCAATGCTTTTGTCTTAAGATTTGCTGAAGTGAGCACCTTGCTGTGGTGCACATTCTTTCACCATGGTCGTGTCTGTTTCTGAGGAGCAATCAGCCTCCAACAGCTTAGGAGAAATCCATCATACTTGTGAATGAGTAAAGCATGGTGCCACTACTCTGTTACCAGATTGCTTTCAGTAAAGCTTTTAATAACATTGTGACTTCTGCTTGAACTCGGCATTGGAATGGGAGCAACTAATTTTTAATGCATAGGCATCTTGTTGTTCGCCTCGATTGGTGGCCCGATTCACTGGCATAGTCTGTGTTCTTGTGAAACAAAATTAAAAGTAGGGCCTTGAGTATAAAATGTTATATCCTCTTGTTATAACCTTTCACAATATCCTATAACTTCTCTCTTTCCTGGGCTTTGTGTGCTGTGCTGGACTCAGGCAAATCTGCTTTGTTTTATTTTAGCATGGCTAATTTGAAGATTGAACTCTCTAAGCTAGATAGTGAAGCCTGGCCTGGAGCACTGGATGTGGAAAAGGAAAAACTGATGTTAATCAATGAGAAAGAAGAGCTTTTGAAGGAACTCCAGTTTATTACACCACGCAAACGTACGCCAGATGAGCTAGAGCAGCTAGAAGCAAAAAGGAAGAGGCTTGAGGAAGAGCTGGTGTCTGTGAAAAGCACACCTAGTCAAGCACTTGCTGAAAGGTAAGGGGTTGCCTTTTGCTAATACTAAATGCTGCTTTTTGCAATCTAACCCTTGTACTCATTACAGACCCTGAACTATGCCTTGATGGGCTGTTTTCCTTCAGTGACTGTTTTGTGTAGATCTTAATTAAATTTCTTATTAGCCCAATGGACAGAAACACAAAGGAGTCTTCAAGTATTGTGAGAGCACTGTATGTGCTCTGCAGTATCAGTTGCTCTGTGTTTGTAACCAGCATGAAAATGCCTGTGACAGATGTTAAATAACTGAGGAATGACAACATACCAGCAGGAAGGCTATACATCATTCACTTGTTTCTGATAATAGCGGTAAACTGTTTGAACTCAGCTTACAAAGATTATCTCGATTGTTGCAACATCTGAAGCCTCTCTCTCCTTGCGAGTTTTATTACACACAAAAATGCAACCAAAAGGGGGAAAAAACCTAAAAAGTTCAGATGAGAAACATAATTGCTGCAGAACTTCCCTAACTTGATACTACCTAACTGGAAAGTGAAGCAACAATAAATTGTTTTTAGCCAGATTCAGAGTTTGAGAAAATCAAAGCTGACTGTCACAAACAGACTTTTCATCAGCTCTAAGTGGAAATAAATTTAGGGGCACCTGTAGACCACATAAAATGTAACAAACACAAAATGTCATTGTGTGTATCAGTATAGTATGCCTTACTGAAGTAATACAATCAGCATTGTGTGGCTTTCTTACTTCCCTGCATTAGGAAACACCTGCTGTTGCTCCAGTGTGTGCTGTATGGCAATAGCAAAATTCCTTTTATAGCATTACAAGCTGAGTCCTAAATTGTAGCTGAGTAATAAGGAAGTTTTTTTTGTTTACAAAGTACCAGTGTGTGTAGTAGGCAAGATTTTTTTTTAACATTTGTACTCTTTATAATGGTATAAACTGCATTATACTGATAATCCAAATATATTTTAGAAGGAGGGAACTATATTTTTACAGAAGATACCTGTCTGTGCTTGTGTGTCTAAAGTACCATGGAGCTGTTGCTCTCTGACTTCCATTAATAAATGGAGAATAGGGGGGGCAATAATAAAAYCACAATCACAAATAAGTAATTTGAATTTAAGGTTTTGATAACATGCTGTTCTATCGCTAAATCTTGACTTATGCTATAAAGAGGTAGCTGGTGTTTGAATCTTGTGTTTGGGTTTGCTTTAGTGCCAGAGAAGGTTCTGTACCTGACCATTTTCCCATACATGTCAGGTACCAAACTTGGAGTACCAAGGGCAAGTAAAATTATCCCCTGTTGTCAAGAAGAAATGAATTTTCCATGTATAGTGGCACAATGAGTTGTTAGAGCTTGCTTTTCACCCTTCCCTATCCCTCAGKTTTTTTTCCTTTGATTTTTAATCTTGAAAATTTGGACTTTGGGTTTGGGTTTTTTTAATCTGAGGTTAATGTAAGATATGTTATGCTCTACTGGTTGAGGTAGCACTTGTGGTGGCTTCTGGTTTGCTTTTTTATTCCAGTGAATCTTCAGTGAATATCTACCTTCAACTGTTTGTATTAAAACTGTCTTCTTTGGTGACTTAAGAGCGCATCAATTCTTTCACATCAGGATATTCTGAGGATTATTTCTGGTTTGTCTAATATAAACATAAAATAGATCTTCATTTTCAGAAGGATTCAGATGATGAAACTTTTTCTGAAATGTTAATCAAAAAAAATACATTTAATTGCATCAGATCAATCATCAGCACTTTGTTTCTTGGAGATGGGGGAGATTCTTCTCTCCATTATCAATGGAGGACCCATGCCATCTCCAAAATTTTGTACTTTTGCATTACTATTTTCTTCTATGAGGTTTCACAAATGCCTTGAGTTTGCAGTGTTTTCACAGGTACTGATAATGAGGCAGCAGCATAAGAAGCTGTGGATTGTGCCAGCTTAATATGATGAGGCTTTTTCGTTTGGTTTAGTGGCTTGGGTTTTTTTATTTCTAAAGGGAAAAGAAACAGGAGATGTGCTCTGACTTAAAACAAAAACATTACAGCATAGCCCTGGGTTATTTTGGAGCAGGATGCTGAAGTTGCCTCTAGTAGATGTACGTGATTCAATTTACAGAAGGAGGGTATAGATCATAACCTATCAACTTCAAAAAGGCAGAGACAGGGCATACTCCGACTGCTTTAAGAAGCCTCAAAGGAACTGTGTAGAAGTAACTGGATTGTGGAACTGTTGAGAACTACTTGCTACTTTCTTGCCTCCGAGTTCTTGTCAGGGAGATTCCATTACTGCTTTAGTCCTAGGCAGTATCTCCCAAGTAAACACAGCCATTTGAACAGGTCCGTGATTTAAGTACTTCATTCTGCTGTTGTCTGCAAATCTGGCACCTGCTCTTGTGCCTGTCACAAACAAACATGTCCAYCTAAGTTTGTACTGAAAGGTGAGGTATGTGCCCTTTAACTTTTTAATGTATTTTCTGTAAAGATTCTGTGCCCCTCTTAGCAATGCTACAATTTAAGATCAAAAGAGTAATATGTCTCACTAACACTGAAGTCCCTCCTGCAATGAGTGAGAGGTTAATTTAAATAGAAGGGGTGCAAACAGGAGAGATTGAGAGAGGCCAGAATAGATTACATAATGGTTCTTTAGGTGTTTACACGGGGTTTTTTTTGGTATTAAAGTTCCTGCTTATGCTATGAAGAGGGAGGTTCAATGTCTGAAAATTTTGGAGGTGGGGTTGTTTATTTTTTCCATTTGGCCTGATGTAGATTGAAAAAACTTCCCTTGAATCTTAATTTGCAATGAGATAGTGAAATTACTTCCTGCATTTCCTTGAACTTCCACAGGTGATTTCATCATCTGGCTTGTGTTTGTGATTTGTGACTAACATATTTCTGAAATTTGCCTGCAGGTATTAATAGTTGTATTTAATTACTAGTACTTAATTACAAATTACTTTCAGGAAAGAAATCTTTTTCAGGTGCTAAATTATAAGGGATAAATTACATCTCATCATCCTCCTTAACGTAGTAAAAGAAAACAAACTGTCAACAGTGCTTTGGAGACAAAAAAAGACAAACTTTTAATTTAGTAGTACAAACTCAGTTACTATARTGTCTCTCTTGAAGTGGCTGTAGGTATGTCTTTTGAGGACTTCAGTCAGAGAAATTCCTAAGCTTTTATTTTCTTTCTTGTCTYCTACCACTAGTAGCTGAACACAGAGCAATTTCTGTGCCTCTTCCTTGAGGAAAAAAATGATAGTTCACTACTGAAAACCACAAAAGACCTAGTGAAGAGCACTCTTGCTTGGGAAAAGCAGGATAGATTAGGCTTTAAAATAAGATTGAAGGCATCAATAAATAGTAAAATGATAGGAAACAGTGTCTGATGCTATAGATGAACATAATTCTTAGTGTGGAAACCTGTGTGTATGTCTTCCTGAGTGAAGAATGAAATACTGTGTGTGCTTTTAACAGCCTTAGCAGGTATTGGCAGATGAACACATCACTGCAGTGTGAGAGCACATGTGGCGTGGGCAATGGAGTGGAAGTCACACCCTGGCTGACCTCGGGGTAACTTATTCACCTTTACATAACCCAGATTTGCTCACTGAATAAGCATGGGTGTAAGCAAGTAYTTTTCATGCCTTGCTGAATCAGGGACTTAATGTCTTTTTGCTGGTATCTGATGTTCACAGGGAGTGAATTCTGGGCACTCCTGAGTATCTAATTCACTTAATTCACTTTGCATAAGAAAGCAGTGGTTGGTGTTTGTTTTTTCTTTGAACTGTTCTCTGCATTTGAATTTTAATGTATATGTCCTTGAGATGCCAGGAAGCTCAAGGAACTACTTCTGAGAATGAACCATCAACCTTTTTTTTTTAGTCCATTAAAGAAGGGGTGGTAATTTCTTGTTTCTCAGATTAGTTGCTTGAGAACTTGTGACATGTGTCAGTTGACTGAGCAAGGGTTGGAGTAGAATATAGTAATCCACAACTACAGGAGGATTTTAGCTGAATCCATTGAGAGAAAGCAATTTATTTARTGTAAATGGAGTGATAAAAGGGAATTATAAAAGGGAAAAAAAAATCACTCTAAAGGTTAATGAATCATTTCTACTAGCAGCCAGGCAATAGGAAGAGGAGAGTACCGGTTTTGTGGCTTTAAAGCTGGCAACACAACAAAGCAGGAGGGAATAAATCCTGCTTTCTCATAAAGGTGAACTTGATGACGAGCATTACAATGCTCTGTGGCTCTGAGGTACTGACAAAAATGTTGGGAATGTAGAAATCTTTACCAAGGACTCCTAAATATGGTCCATAATCTCAGAACCTTTCATTGAATGCTGCTTTGATTTGCTGTGCTTTGTCTCTATATAAAGATTCTGAAATTAAGGGGAGTGCTTTGATTTCAAACTTCAAAATATCAAAACTAGTACTGGTATTACTGGTATTAATGTTCTTTTGGTTTTGGTTTGTTTTGGTTTGTTGAGTATTTTTCTGTTTTGTTGTTTGTTTTTTTTTCCTGGAAGTATATGAAGTGTGGAGGCAGTCTGCAGCATGGCTTTTAAAAACTGTGTGAGTGCAGATCCTGTTATCCTGAAGTTGCAGCTATTTTCCCAGTGTTCATCTGTTACTCTTTTATTAGGCGCATGTTCCCCTTGGTACAGTGTGAGTGTCCCAACCCTCAGCTTGCTTGTACACTCAGCAGGTTTGTTACAGTGCTTGCTGTTCTGCAGGTAGAGTCACTCTGCTGAAACAGCTGGGGTTTTACAATCAGACTGAGAGATAATGCAGTATTTTAGATTTTAGTCACTGGCAAACTGATAAAAAATGAGGGATCTTCACTTTGTTTCTTTTTTTTTATCTGTAAATTACTATTCTGTAATGCTCTTCTGAACTAGTATGTACATATTTTTGCAGATTAAAATTGGAAGAGAGAAGAAAAGAGTTAGTACAGAAACTTGAAGAAACCACAAAGTTAACTACCTACCTGCATTCACAACTTAGGAGGTAAGACTGTACTGCATAATGTAAAACCTGTTTGTAGTGGACCTGGATGTCTCAACTTGATTTTTAGGTTTTTCTYTTAGCTGGAAGCTCAACAAAATTCATTTAAATAAGAAAATGGAAGTGTAATAGCTTCAAGCATATTGTCACCCTGCAAATATGATGTATAATTTCAGTAAATTTTCTGACCTGATTATTCCATTATTGTTCAGTGAACAAATTTTAAGTGTTTAGAAAGGCCTGCTTGAAGTGTTTTTCCTGACATTTTTTCCCAGCAGACCTCCAGAACTGAGACAGTGAAACTCAGTTTCTGTGGCCTGGCAGGACTCCTTATCTGCCATTATTAATAGGACAAGATTGCATGTTATGACCTTTGCCATACTTAACATAGTTGGATTTACTGTGCATGTAGAGTTTGTGTTATCATACAGATGGGATGMAGTTCTGCTGTAAGCTGTCTTCTAGTTGGCATTTTTCCCAAGTACTTGGGCAGAGGGTGGACTGCATGAATTGCTCTAGAGGTGGCAACACCCCTCTGCTGTCATAAGCTCTGTCTTGGGGATCCCTGTGCTGTCACATTAACCACATGAGCTCCCACATCAGAGTGGAGCAGCTTTCTGACAGGATGTAAYAGCTGAGAAGGCTGCTGTTACTGCCAGACAAGTTTGTCAAATCTGCAGCCTTCTCTAGAAGAAAAGGGGCTTAGGTAACTGGCCATGAGCTGTATAAATTACCCTGGTAGTCTGCAGCCWGGTATGGGTGCTTAAAGAACAATGCTTCAAGCAGCTTTTGGTTGTAAACTACTACAGGGCAGTTTCAGTCAAGCTTCTCTCTCCTTGTGTTTTGTGCTGGTGTAGTTTAGTAACATCAGAATGTGTTTGTGCTTCCTTCACAGCCTCTCAGCCAGTACGTTATCTGTGTCTTCAGGGAGCAGTCTGGGATCCCTGGCATCCAGCCGGGGGTCTCTGAACACCTCGAGCAGAGGGTCACTAAACTCACTCAGCTCCACGGATCTCTACTACAACCAAGGCGATCAAATTTCAGATCTGGACTATCAGTACAAACTTGATTTCATATTGCAAGAGAAAACTTCTTACATTCCTTCGGGGCCTATCACTACTATTCATGAAAATGAAGTGGTCAGTTCCCATAGGAGACTAGGTTACAGTGACTCTCCTTCAGCTGCAGATCATCCCAAATTGACTGAACCTCCCAAATCTGTGACATCACTGTCTTCCAGGTCCTCACTCTCCTCCTTATCCCCTCCAGGCTCCCCCTTGGTTTTAGAAGCTGCATTTTCAGTGTCAGCTCAAAATTCCCCTCTGCATCACCTCACTACGGACTTTGAAGACTCTGACCTTTCAGGTGATTTTGCAGGCATAAACTTCTGTGAGAACCAAATATTATTGGACTCTGAAGCCAGAGCAGGATCTCAGATTCCTACAGATGATAAAGATCTAAATGTTAGGCAGCCTCTGCCTTCTCTTCATGAAGGAAGTTCAGGTAATTTTTTAAAAAATCTAATGTAAATTGTATCTGTAACRTGAAAGTTAACAGCTGGTTCTTGAATTGAGGAGGTAGCTTGAACAGTATCTTGATCAGCATATACTTGCTGTGGTGGGCAGTCAGTAGTTCTGAGGGATGCTGCCTGACTTCTAATTTGGGCTGCAGAGAGATTCAATCACCCTGATTCCATCTACATTTTTCAATAGCTGTCTCAGAAAGGAAGTTCATGTATTTCAATCTGTCATGAAAACAAGAACACAAAAACCTGGAGCTGGATTTTGAGGGAGGATGTATGGAGTTCCTARGTTTTATCAGGAGGTATGGACATAGAGCAAATACCCTCTGCTGGTTTTTTGATAYCTTGAAATCAGATACTTTGTTTCTCACTGAAGATTGAAATACAAACTGACATCCTCAGTACAAGATTTCTGGACTCAGAATTTTTGAGCCTGCTGTCATTGAAAGACCGGCAGTTCATTTTGAGTTGATAAAGACAGGTGACTACATGCCATGTGAGTTACAGTGAGTCTCTCCCTTTTTTTAACATGGATTTCACAGCTTTTAGCTTTTTATCCAAGTTAGAACAGAGCTCCTAATTTAGTTTAGGCTCCCCCTGCCGTCTGTGGGTAATCTTCAAAAGAATGAGACATCTCCTTCTCAAGCATATTTCCCTTGAAGGCAGAAGGGATGAACGACTGTGAGTTATCAAGGTATCCTTAGTAACTAGTTAACTTTTACTTTGAGATATGATGAATTCAGCTTCTGGTCTGCAGTAAAAGCAATGCAACATACTTAATCATCTTATATTGTCAAAACCTTTTGCAGAGTCAAATTTCAAAAATACCAGCTGTCAAGAATTGATGGCTTGTGCTCAGCCTTAGAGTGCTTGATTTGCTGCCTTTTGTTAGGGCTGACAGTRTGTTGTGCTCTCTCTGTACATTTATTCTTTTCTAGTGTCATTCTGTGTCATTGTCTTCAACTGTGTTGCAAACCTTTCCTGTTTGTGTTACCCAGTAGCTCTGTTTTCTCAAGGAGGAACTGAGGGAGACAGATTTCTAGTAGTGCTGAGCACTTCTGTTTTCTCAAGGAGGAACTGAGGGAGACAGATTTCTAGTAGTGCTGAGCACTGGCAGCGCTATGTGAAACCTGGTCAGCACCTAGCATTTCCAGCTGTATTTCTGAGCTGGTAAGGAAGCAGATAATTAAGGAGTTTGGATGCTTTAGAACAAATACAGACTAGCTCTTGAGGTTTGTTGCCAAGTTTGAACCCTTATGCTTGGAGTTTTTGAGTTTTTAATACAAGTACCTGGACATACTCATACAGCTATATATTTTAATGAGAAATTTGCCTCTATTTTTTAATKCTTTCAAGGAATTGTTGTAACATTTGTTGTCCAATCAGATTAGCTTACTGCAGTACTGCAGCAATTTTAGTGTTGGCCAGAGCAATGTGGTACCAGAAGAGAAAGCTATGGTGTGCATTGTACAAGCTGGGAATCCCCACTCTGTTCCACTGTGCAGAAAGAAAACAAGAAAATGACTGATGTCCTGGTCATCTGAATGCTGTGAAAAGCAAGTGAAAAAACATGGAGGGGGAAGTTGGGGGCAGGGGTCCTTCTGTCCTTTGTCTTTTCAGGATAGTGTAGCACAGTAGTTATTTTACTTTAGAACCATACTATAAAAAATTGAAATAATAATTTTCCTGCTTCTATTTCAGCAGCATATCCTTTCCAAATTAACAATTTTCAGTCTATCTCTACAATCTGGTTGCAACTCACCTAGTCTGAGAGCTGAATTCAAAATGGCTTTSAATTTGGGAACATTTTGGGCTATGTGGAATCAGATTTGTGTGTTTGTTTGTTTTAATTTATTTCTATAGATCATTCTTTTCAAAGGCATTCTGTGATTGTCTAACATTTTAAAAATTTTCAGGACCTCTTATTCTGGATATTGGCAGGTTGTCTTTTAAGTCTATATAAGTAGGTATGATTTTAACATGTAAATTAATCCTGTGATTTTTTTCATACTGATACTTCCTCATGTAGTATATGTATAATACAAATTTTTTTTAAAACCTGTATTAAGGCTGCCAAAACAAGTATTTGAATTTTGAAAAGCCAGGTATTAACTAATTACACTTCAATATCTCTGGTTTCCACAGTAAAATGTGCCTCATGAGGAGACTTTAGTACATTAACAGCGAGAGACACATACCTGGGGTTAGTTCACTGTTTCTACTCCAATTTCATTCTTGAAACTGCTGTGATGCTGAATGGGAATGTTTGAACAAGCTCAGCCAGAGACACAAAACCTGCATAGAAAATTTCAGYCCACACACTTAGGTTTTTACAAGACTACAGACCTGAATACTGCTGAATCTTAACTTGGGCATAGACAAAGACTCCAAGGTAGTACAGCTCCTATCATCATGTAATCTACATTGGCTCTCTAGATACGAGGCTCATCTGTTTCTCTGGCTGTCTCTGACTTTTCTGTACAGGTGAACCATAGAGATATTTTCTCCTCTGCAGATGTCCTTGCTGTCAGAAACCAAGTTGGAATATCATGTAGTTCTTCCACAGTCAGTCTCTGTCATTGTCAAAGTCAATTCAGGCTGCCGTAGTAATTCCTAAGGGTAATCAATAAATCATGTCATCACCTTCACCCCTCTCATGGTGGCGGGGGAAAGGAAAGAGCACTTCATCATCAAAGAGAAAGCATTCCTACTGCCATAAATAAAAGCACAAATGCAGCAATCAATCATCTAATCTGGAGCCTTAAATTTTAACATCTTAACAGGATGTAAAGTCATGATTCAGATGGGGATGATAATGCATACCAAGACCTCACCCCTTGGCAGATAAAAGGACTGCACAGGCCCTCAGCTTACTGTGCTGCAGAATGTGGCTTAATGGCATGACACTAGCATATGAATGCAAGTTGAAGATTAAAGCTAAGTCGTCACTGAGAGACTGTAGCATAGGAAGTTTTTGATGATAGTAAACCAGAGAGGATTTTATTTCTTGCAGTTATATCACTGGGGAGAGGGTGTCTGTCTGACTTCTGAATATTTAATAAACAGTAGGCAAGCACTTGGCATGTAGCTGAAGTGTTACTACAGTGCTGRATGTGAACACGGCAAGTACAGGTTTAAAGATCAGGAAAATGAGGGTTGATAATGAATGATAATAACTACCTCAACACATAAGGGTGATCATAAGAGTCTGGGAARGAATAATAGGAACGTTTTCAAGTTCATCAGTCTAGTTATATCTGTAGCCAGAATATGTGGTAACAGCAGTACAGGCTCAGAATGTTTAATGATATGGAACAAAACTACTCTGTGATACTCAGTTAAGGGTCACCGCTTTCAACTTGACAACTTTCTGAGCTATGCTCATCTCTCTTTCTGACTGTTAATCTCTTGGATGAATTTTCTTTTTCATTTTTGTAGGTGTTGATTTACCAAGACAAACAGCTGGTCATCTGCTTGAGGAGAAAACAGCTTGTGTGTCTGCTGCTGTGTCTGATGAGTCTGTAGCTGGAGATAGTGGTGTATATGAAGCTTCTGTGAAACAGTAGGTTTGAGAAATCTTGCAAGTCTTTCCACCAAGAGTTTTAATACATCTATGAACAGTTGCAGCAGAAATTGTTAATAAGCCCTGCGTTTTTTAGAAATAATTTGTACTTTCAGATGGAAAAGAAGGCATATATACCAAAGGATGAGGTTTGATTTGGGTTATTTTTTGTGCTTCTGTAAATTCACTGAATAGCATTAATATACTTCCTTATAATCTTGGGCTTTTTTTCCTTGCTAGAAGTGTTCTCAAGAGAAAAGCTTGATTTCAACTGTACAGGTTCTGCCATGTGACTCTACTGGTACTACTCAGAGTTACTGGTTTTACTTCTTGTTTTGTTAAGGATTTTTAAGATTGCATAACTTTTTTTTTATGTTTCTTTTCTTTAAAAGAGGCTGTAGAAAAGACAAGAAAACCTCTGTTGCAATGTTGGTATTAAAATAGTGCAGGTTCAAGTTCAATGTACACTGGGGTGATCAGGTATAAGAAACATATTTGCTGTTATTTTTTGACCAGACAGCTTCTATAAGATTCTTCACACTAATTTATATGGTGTTGCCTGTAATATTCAKTAATCATCATAAGGCTTTTCTGGATCATTGCTGTAGTTGTCAGACTATTCCAGCAGTGACTGTCCCTAAAAGAAACTGCTGTTGTGTAGGCTCTGAAATTCTCAATTGGAGTGCAGTCATTAAATCAGTGTTTTTAGGAGAAGGGATATATGTTCTGTGTATGCAGACCTTAATTATTGCTGAAAGCTAACTTTAATTTTCCTTAATTTGAGTATTTGCCTGGTTTTCCTAGACCAAATGAAACTGAGGATATTGTATATAGTGCAGATGATGCAACAACTCTAGAGGCTGCTCARGTACAAATAGGACTCAGGTGAGTGACCAACAAAGGGAAAAATTCTGTTTATATACAAATGTGAATAGTAAACTTCCCTCATGTTGTCCTTTCTTTAACAGATATGACCATGGCAATTCGAGTTTTGTGGTGATCATAGTACGGCTTAGAAATCTTCCAGCATTTTGTGTCCCCCTTGGCTCTAAGGTGTAAGTCAAACAATCACTAAGATGTAGTATTGAAATACAAGAGTGCAATAATAAATAGTGAGAAGTCTATAAAGGAATCCGCTGATTTAAGAGCACTAAAATATGTACAAAACTTTTCAAACTTTTGTAATATTTAGGTTTAGCATATTCCAGCAATGCAAGAAAAAGAAGTTATCAGGAAATTTGCACATTCCACTAAAGTGGAATAAAAAGTATTTTTAAATGGTGTTTTATCTAGTGCTTCTAAACATTCTATAGCTTTGTGAGTGCAAAACAGCAAAGCTGTAGTTACTAAAAACTTTTTTTTGGTACTTTGTCATCCTTTCAGCTCAGAATGTTGTCTTTTTACRTTTATGTGTCTTTCTGATTTAAACAGGTATTTAAAGCAGTATTTGTCTTTTAAGTGAGCTCTTAAAGGAAAGGGGTAATTTAATATATTGCAAGTAGACAAGCACAGTCATACTGAGATACATCATCCCTGACGAGGAGCTTGGAGCTCTCTTAAGAATTAGTTCTTGAGTCAGATTTGGACCAACATGCAAAGTCTAAAAGTAAAATACAGTGCAAATCATATGTAGAAAATGAACAGAAAGGCCTGACTGGGTTACCACTGAGTTTCTGCTCCAAAATTCTCATCTGTATAAATAAGTACAGCTTGCCTTGGGAACACTTGTACTCAAGTGAGCTTTTTGACAGATAGTAAGACTACCTTTAACTGCTGAAAAGCTTAGTAAGATTGGAGTAGGACATAACCAAATTTTCCAAGGATTCGTTTTCTTGCTGGTACCTTTCCCTTTGTACCCCATTGCCTTAAATTTGATTGGCAGATAAAGAGGAAGCCACTGGGTGTAGGAAGAATGCATTAATGATAGAGGCCGRGGTGCTTGCTGGATTCTTCTGTTTGTTTTTGTTAGTAACAAATGGTCTACTACTATCCTTCCTTCTCTGACCTCGGTCTTTCCTCTGCTGACCTTCCATGTCCACTAACATTTACAACAAGAACACAGAAAAAACTATAGAAGAATAAATTGACGCAGGTGAGATGAAAAATAAATAATTTAGAACATTAAAAAGATGTTCAGTAACATAAAGCTAGGTCAGAGCTGGCATCTTTTTAGGAATTAAGTGTGAAGTTGTATTTAGGAGTCAAAAAATCTAGACCCGATGCTGCTAAAAGAGATTTGATGAAACTAAAGCTACACAAAACAAAGARGAAAAAGGGGCATGGTAAAGGCAGGACCTTGCAAAGAGCTTTTTTTTTCTGTCACTTGAAATTGTGTGCATCTATGTATAATCTATACAGATACATAATAGAATAAAAATTGGATCTGGAAAATGATGCTGCATTATAGCTGCATTTCCTAGAACATCAGCTGGATAAATTAGTATTTTACCTTTACAAATGGAGGAATAGATTTGACATGAGGTCTTACTGATGCTGTAAAAGCTTTTCACTTGCAGCCTAGTAGAGCATAGTAGAAGAGTTACTGTATCAAGGTCACTTCTTCATCAATTGAGGAGTCACAGGTTTGTCACAGCAAAATCTGAGGTATTGATTGACTCTTCAGGTTTATTAATAAAAAGGGAAGTAACCACTCCTGTAAAACAAAGTRAGAGAACAATTTGTCTTTCGCTTTTTTGTTTACCCTTCATTCTGGCCTGATGCCAGTTGCAATTGGCACACAGTTATCAAAAGAAAGTTCCAGTGAACCACCTTTTAAGCATACTTTTGATACACTTTATCTTCTATTCCTACTTCTTTTATAAATGTTTTTAATTGATTAATCTATTAAAATGGCTGTTTTCAGTAGCCCAAGCAAATTGCTCACCTACAGTTACATGAATACAGCAGCAGCATTACTGGAATTAAAATATGCTACYCCTTCAGTCAGGATTGGCATGTCAGAATTCTGGATACTGCTATCCAGGCTATGCATGTGAACCAAACAACTTARATTTTGCTCTTTATCCCAAGAAGTTTGGCATAACGGGGAATAAAGACTATGCCCAAATTCAAGTAAAAAGTAAAATTTCTCACAGATCTAATTTCTTTTGATTTAACTAATGCAACATTAAGTTTTTAAATAAAATTAACAAACCTATGCATGAAGTCAGAAAATATAGTTGTGGTACTATAAATTTCAGGATAAAAAGTATTTTCTAGAATGATTTAATTTGGCCCAGTCTTTCTTCTTGCTTTAGCCAGCTTCRTCAGATTCTGTTCTCCAGTGAATGTCATTTATTTGTAAAGCCAGTACTAGAAACAGACTAATGGATAGCCACAGAAAAGATGTAAAACTATTCCTATGCTCATTCGTGTGTATGAGAAATGGTGCAATAGGTAAATAGCACATACAAATTCCATTAAAAATATCTTTACTCTGTCAAGCTGCTACTAAAGTGAGACCTGCAAGTTAGCTAATACCACATAATATCCATTCATACTTGTTATATAAAAAGAATGCAGCCTTGTAACAATTTCAAGTTACTATCTGTGCTTAAACTTAGCTTGCAAGATGCTTTCTTCCAAGTTACACTTAATATGTTACGAACTGATCTCAAGCAGCGATGGCCCTAGCTATTTTCTTCCTTGCTTTCCTTAGTTTTCTGCTTTCTTTGGAATTTTTGTTTGATTTGTTTCCTTAAAAGATTAAAAGATATCACTGCTTTTCAATGCTGCTCATATCCTTCTAAGAGTTTAATGTTTACATCCACCCCAATTTTTCTCATTTTTTAAATTAACATTAAGGTCATGTTTCATCCCATCTGTGACATGATCCTCACTGTTTACAGCACTAAACTAGAGGATAAATTTGGACAGAGTCAGAAACTGCTACCTCTCTTGCTACTACCTTACCAGGCACAAAAAWTCCTTTATGGGAAATGTTTCTGCAAGGGAGGAGTTTCTCACTCATCTTTGTCACCTCTTTTCCATTCCACTGATAAGCTGCTGTTCCTTTTTTATGCTATACAGTCCTTAAATTGATGGGGTGAGTTTCTATCATGCATCACCAACAAGTGCCAGTTCAAATAGAGGTAAAGATTTCCTTTTGTTTCCGACAGATATGTTAGAGTAGCAGTACTTCCATCCTCCACCGATATCAGCTGTCTGTTCCGTACTAAAGTTCATCCTGCCATGGAAACCATTTTATTCAATGAGATATTCAGGGTAGCCATTTCTCCAGTAACACTGCTACAGAAGACACTGAGAATAGATGTTTGTGCTGTCAGTAGAAGTCGTCGGGAAGAATGCTTGGTATGCATTTTTATTTCTGGTGCTTTTTTGGCATGCATTTGTTTATAGTGTTTCTCTTATTTTGATGGTCAAGTCTGCTAAAATTCCACAGCACTTGGAGGCAAAGTCTGAAGCATAACTTAGTTGTTGCTATAGTACTTAGAATACTGCCTTTCTCTGAAATTCCTGGTAGAGAATCTAATCCTGGAAGGTGTTTTGATAATTCTACTACTACCTTAACCCTTGAATTACAGATTGATATTCCGTCTTTTCTATTTTATATATAAACCCCCATAAACTCCAATGCAACATTATTTTGACACTAGGTCTTTAAGTAAAAGCTGAAGGAGAGCCACGGTTAAAAACAAAACAAAACAAAAAAAAAAAAAAAAAAAAAAAAAAAAAAAAAAAAAAAAAAAAAAAAAAAAAAAGAAAAAAACCAAAAAACTAACAAAAAAAAACAGAAAGCAAACTCACACTATCACAACTTGTCACAAAGAACAAGCTAAAATACGTTTTGGACGTTATTTTAGATTATATTATGGATACCTTTCTGGTCTTTATGATCTGTTAAAATAATAAAAAGGCATGACATTTATAGATCAGCCCATTGGAAGCTGTCACTTTAAATTTTGTTGTTAATTGTAGTCATCACCAAATCAGTGATGCTTCATTTACTTTCAAATTGCTTTTGCATGGCCTGGTACTACTCAAGTCTAGTTTTTCACCGTGAGAGGGATTTTAGCAGCACAGTGAGACTTTTTCAGTTACTACACACTGAGGAGATGCTGGAATCTGCTGGGGTTCGTCAGCTCCATCTACTGTGAAACAGCCTCTCACCTCTAAAATGTAGAATTTAGCTTAGTTCCTGGGAAATGGGTTGGCTTTTTCTAGTATGGAAGAGTTTTCCTCTGAGGAAAGGGAAGGGTGACAGAACACAAATGTAACATCATGCAGAATACAAAGGTGAAGAAAGGGCTCAACAATAAACAAAAAATCCCAATGAACACAAGTGTTATTCACAAGATTGAATGAAAGAGCTGGGAGCACCATCCCCAGCAGAAAGCCCTGGGCAACATGGCCAGAGTCTTGGCAAGAGCTGTGTATGCAGCCCAGTAGCTGTGGAGATAATACGCTTTGCCAAAGAACAGAGGATTTTAATCTCCAAGGCACAGCCGAAACATGAGTACTTCTGACATTTTCCCAGAGTACCAACTCAGTGGATATCAGCACTTGTCCAAATGAAAGGGTTTCTTAATCTCTTTTACTGGCTTTTTCATCTTCTCCTTCCCTGGTTAGAGCAAACAAGGTCATCCATTATTTGTCATGTGGATGATTTTTGTGATGGGACAAYTGACAAATCATGTGACGCTGCTGCACGAGTTAGTGCTGCACAGATTTTCATTACTGAATGCACTGGAGTAGGCACATGCAATACTGTGGTGGGGAAGGGAAGTGTGCATGTGGGAGAAATTCYGTAGACTGAAATAAGAGTTGGCAAAATGAGCAATATGAAGGACTTTTCCATGTACTTCTATTTGTTTATTTGAACTGGAAGTGGAGAGAAATGGAAAATTGTACCGTTAAAAAGGGAATTAAGGTTCATGTCAAATTTGTGCTGCCTATTTTGCATGGTAAGTACAGTAGAATTTAATTTAATCTGTTTTGCAGGGAACAAAATAAATTTAAATTATTTTCTTCCCTTTTCTTACTTTGTTCAGGCTGGGACTCAGATCAGTCTGGCAGATTTATCACTTTCTGATGAAACCTGCACTGTGTGGTACAACCTGTTGCCTTGCAAGCAGATTCCTGGCAAAAAACCCAAGGAACAAAGTGAGGAATACATATTTCTGTTAAGCAAGCAGTCACAATCATTGGACTCACTGGACTTGGTGAGCAATGTGTTGGCTATTACTGTGATTGCAAGAAGAAAGCCAGAGACTCCAACTGTGCCATTGGGTTGTCRTTATTTGAATGTGTGAACTGCCCTCCCCTGAAGCTCCAAGGTTTTGCACTTTTGTCTRGCATGACTTTGTGTGAGTGGGGCCTATATGGGGAATCAGATTTGCTAGCCAGTGGGCATAGGGCAGATGTTTTTTTTCTGGATACAAAATTGCACACACAATTTGAAACACTTCAGCTGTGTTTCTTTCTAGAAAGAATGTTACTGAGGAGCTTCCCTGAATGTGTAATTTATTTTCACATGCACACCTTAAACATTGCTATTTATTAACTACTTGAATCAGCATACTTAAAGCCATTGCATTGAAAATTATGTTTATGCAAAACATACTAACTCTCCTGGTTAAATAAGCTTTTCTGTTTTAATCTCTTCTTAAGAGAATTGCATAGAAAATGTAACTTTTGAAGAGCACCTTTTTTTTTGCTTAAGAACATGTATGAGGGAAGAAGAGAAAATACATTGAAGGATGACAGAAGCATATTTGATTGCATGATCATTTTAAAACTAGTTGATTTTCATTGAGATTTACTCTATCAAAATAGTCATTCAATGTGCTATACACTGACAATTCAAACCCCTTATTATCCTTGTGATCTGGGAGTCACTGTTTCTGCAAACATTAGGGAGCAGTAGGGTAACGCAGCCCTTCAAGAGTTGTCATTTTTTTACCTGTTATATATCATTCAATTCTGGTTTCATGTTTTTTTCTTTGGGAGCAGGATGCCGTATCAGCTCTGCTGGAGAGGACATCTGCTGAGCTGGAAGCAGTAGAACAAGAATTGGCTGAGGATGAGGAGAAGGAAAAGGAGCAAAGGGCCTCCGAGGAAGACTGGTAAAGCCATTTTTCCTCCCGCACTGTTCATGCCCAAATGATTCAGCTCATTCTTCCTTTTCTTAGACAATGAAAGGGCTGTACTTTCGGAGATCATAGACTTGTAGAATGGTATGGGTTGGAAGGTACCTTTAAAGATCATCCAGTCTAATACCCCTGCCATGGGCAGGGTCACCTTCCACTAGACCGGGTTGCTCAACACCCGATCCAACCTGGCCTTGAACATTTCCAAGGAAAGGACATCCACAACTTCTCTGGGTAACCAGTTCCAGTGCCTCACCACCACTGAAATTGGAGTAAAGCCTTGCTTTCTTGTGTGGTCAATTCATTCATGTTCTTTTAGGTTTACAGTGTCTTGGTTGCTCTGTGAACTCCTATTGCCAATGCTCCACCATTCCACATCCATCTTCCTGTGAAAGCACTTGGTTTGTGAAGCCACTGGAGGTGTAGCAAAATATCACATATCATAGTTGAATTAACTGTAATAAGCAACTAATAGGATTTGAAGAGAGCTGCTGTCTGGCAAAGTCAGTACGGGTGTACTTCCATTGATGGTCTTGTTTTTGAAGAAATTGTGAGCTTTYCCAAGAACAGATTTCTTACTAAATTGCTATTTGAGTTCTGTTATTGTATCGTTTCTTAGCTGCAGTGTAGAAATAACTACATGCTTTATTATGGGGGAAAGGAAGACTTGCTTTTTTGTTTTATGAACTTCCTATAATTAAAGTCCTTCAATGTTATCAACATTACAGCTACTGAATGTAGTGTAGTGTTGTCATAAGGTGACCTTGAAGGTGAGCTGTAGTAGTGCTTGCTGGATTTCGCTGGAGGCACCAAAGAAACGGGCCACATGAACTTAGTGGGAGCATTTTGATGATAGTTGTTCTCCCTGTCAGGAATATGCATACCTTATGCATGGGTGCAGGTCTGGGCTTTTTGGTATTGTTCTTTGGTGAGCTTTTTCAGTTTCAGAATAAGCCTGAGCTACTTCTGTTCATACAGGCTAGAGATGCTTGCAGAGGCCTCTGATGAAATCGCGGATGAAGAGGAAGATGACATTAAGCTGGCAGTAGAAGGCAACTGTACTGATGACACGAGGTTACTCATGGATGCACCAGAAATTAATGAAGACAAGAACAGAGAGAGAAGTGATGAGCCTCATGAAAGCCAGCAAGCTGCTGTAATACTAACACTGGTGAGTGTCTTAAAGTTCACATTCCTGCAGTATCTTACTGTGTCTAAAAATCTATTTCTGAGCAATACATTTAGAAGTCTGCTGCATCGATGCATTTAGAAATTTGTGTGGCCTTTTCTGTAGTGCTTGTCAGTATGTACATGTAACAAAATTTATGTGGTCACTCCTGAACTATGAAGAGGATGTTGGACAGACGTGCTAGGTAGAACTTCTAAGTCCATCACAATAAGCCAGAACTCTGTCTTCACTTTTTTTTGTTGCATACAGAGAATATTCAAAGCACAAGAGCAGTTCAGCAGCTTCAGCTTGTGCATATTTAAAATATGCACATCTTTCATAGTCTTCTTTTTTTTTCTTCTGATTCATCTGCTAAACAGGGGGAAACACAGGGCATGAGTCAAGATCTTTAAACCAATGCAGGGGTTTCTTTATTTTTCCCTTTATTTTAGGGTGTGAAATACAAAAACTGTCTTAGCAGAAAAAAGGACAGAAGATGAATGAACAGAAAATTCCAAAATATGTATTAAAACTGTGTATACTTTTGAACTATTAAGGGTACTGTTATACCCACACAATGCACAAAGCAAATTCTAATCCCGTGTTCTTGGTGACTGTTGTCTTTAAATTGTATTCCACTTTGTTGAAAGCACTTTTAATAAATGTTTAGTAAACATATCACTGATAGCGTAGGAGATTCTCAGAAATAAAATTTTTAGAACCTTTCTGCTTAATACAAACACTATTGCATTGAAGTTCTATAAAACAGCAGAGGTAAGGAGACAAAGAATGACATCTCGTTTTTTCAACTTTGTGACAATACAAAAGTTTAACATCTCAGTGGACTTGCTGGAAACTGTAATTAACTTCCAATTAATGTGGTAAGATGCCAAATGAGCTAAGACTGTGGTATTAAAAGGACTGACAGTCTGCTGGGTAGCAAATGAAAATAGATCAAAGCCCTAACTCGGCAAGGGGAGACGGCAAGGACAGCATGTGAAGGTTAGACACGCACACAAATGCTTTGCTAAGCCTGGGCTGCATGGACCCAAGCAATGAGTGAAAGGCAGCAGACTCCATTGCAGAGCCAGCCACAGTGTAGATCTTTGTGTGCCAGATCCTCTCGGGGCTGCAGTTGTGCTATTTAGGTCACTGTATTTATCACCTGCACTTTGAAAKCCATAATCCTCATTAAACCACCTGAGTTGAAGAAAAAGCCCCAGCGTACATCAGTAATGCTGGATGTTCCAGCTGCTGCAGAGCCTGGACTAGCCCAGCAGTCAGGATGATTGCAGCATGGAAGTAAGCACAACCTGTGCCACCCACAAGGATAGGGACATGTAGTAGGCAGCAGGGCTGTGCTGAGGGACAGCAGCCAGCAGGGTCTTTTCCTTGGGGTCACAAGGCTGGTGAAGCTCTGGAGATTGCCATAAAGCAGCCCTGCTGTAGAGGCGTGGGGATGTAKGGCAGTATGTCTAGAAGGATCTGGGCAATGTGACTTTGCCAGCTGCCCCCTTTCAGTGTGCACAGGCACCATCTCTGACATAGCAGAATCCTGCTCTTCTGCAGATACCAAGCCAAGTAACTAGAAATGTGCAGCAATCATAATGTCTGCAAATGGCAAACATTTTTTTGCGCTGTGTTTGCATCAAATCATCTGCCAGCCAGCAAAGGCCTTTCTGTAAAAGCTTTGCTTTACTGGCTACAAAGAGTACCTTCAAAGCCTCTCCACACAGTTAAGCCTYGAATTTTGTGTTTCTTTACTTAGAATAGCCTCTCTGTAAATGCAGGATGCTTTTTGTCKTTGGTCTTTTTCCATCAATTGCAAGGTGATAACAATGCTTGTAAAATCCAAAGGCACAAAAACTGTGTGGTGGCATGTATCTGGTTGTACTAAATCTCGTACATTAAATTCCTTTTCCTAGGTTGATAAAGAGACTAACACTGAGGAATTGGTTAATGAGAACACACCAGTCCGGCCCAAGGATAGAGGCAGCTGGAGCTCCAGACAGCGTCCCTTTGTCAGGAACAGCATGATAGTGCGCTCCCAAACCTTCTCTCCAGGCGAGCGGAACCAATACATCTGTAGGGTAAGAGGACAAACACTTGGAATGAAGAGCTATTAACTAAAGAGTCATTTAACTTCTTGGGAATGAAGCATTAATGACAGTGAGTCATGTACCAATTTTCCCTGCAAGAGGCAGAGCTTGTGCTTTCTCCAGAGTCTTTCCCTGTCTGAGCTGATGCATAGTAGAATTGACTTTCAGCAGAGTTGCACACTCTTGCAAAACACCTCTACTAGGGCAAAAATACATGCTATTGGAGAGAAGTAATGCAGATGCCTGTGCTGCCTGTCTACAAAAAGTGCATTTCCGTGCACGTCAGCAACTCCAGCATTCTCGGAACAAAATAATTTGTTACAACATGAAATAGAATTCATTGTAAAATGCCATTGCATTAGCATATTTTAATAATATAACCATTTAAGGGTAACAGTGTGGAAAGAGTTCAGTCATCARTTTTAAATCTCGCTTTGTATCTCAACTGGCTTTAAACCTAGGCAACCCAAATCCTGCTGTAATTGCATCTTTGAAAGATGTGCAAGCACTGCCTCGGGACTGGGTTTTAAACATGGCTTTGGCAGCTAGGTTCTCCTGTTTCTCTAGATCTATGGTAGCATGCAAAAAAAAAAATAAAAATTGTGAGTCTTGTTGCTACTAAACTTAACTATGAAAATCATGTGTTTAAAGATTTAAGCATGGGTTACAGCTCTATAGATTTTAATCACAGATACCCTAGAAAAGGCAGTTTTATTTTGATCTTTAGTTTCTACAGGTTACTCACACAAGTATGTCTTTTTTTAAAAAAATACTTATGCTTTAATTCCCCAGTTCTGTTAAAGACAGTTGCCTTAATCACTTGGGAACATTTACATTCATCACTTCTCTGTGATTCTAATTGGCCTAAAAAAAATAAATCTGTAGTCAATATCTACATACTTAAATAACTATTCCATATACCCTCCAGGATGAAACACAGCAGATTGTTTTCTAACAATCTTTACATCATTTGGATAGATTATTGGCTGAATTCAGAACCTAGCCTTCATCTTAACTCCTGTGCTGGAACTTAATTCCTAAATGGAAAGTATTGGAATAAAAATATCACCTTAGCTTGCTGCCTATGTAGGTCTTCAACAGGAATAAAACTAGTTGCTTTGGTAATTTAGTTAGTGTAAACTCCTGAGGTTTTTGTTTCTGGAAAAGAAATGAGCTTTTGTAGCTTTGAACACTGCTGCATACCTGGTGCCAAGAGCCAGAATCCACAAAAAACCTTTCCTTGAATCAACCATTCTGTTTCAATACCATTGTGTATGGTATTGCCGGGAAGCAAAGTACTCTGTGAAAAGAAAGTTTGCGCAGATGAATCTTTTGCAGTGTCAGAAACACCTGTTGCCCACTCTCAGGGGCTCCAGAATGAGCACTGCAGCTGCATCCAAGTTCACAGAGAAGGCTGAAGAGCTGGGATCTCCTCAGTCCCAGTTCCCAGCTTACACCACAGGCATATCCAGCCTTCCCTCCATTATGGTACTGTATGAGAGGAAAGCACCTCTTGGATACACTCCGGTGAGCTGCCAACTGCTCTCTAATCAGAAGAGATGGCCTGACATTAAGAGAGCACCTACTCTCATATGGTGTTGCAGAAAACACAGAGATCTTTGAAGCCTAATGGACAGAACCAAAGCCTTTTGTTGTTTTTGGAAATATCCCTTGAAAAGTGCCTAAAGAACATTAGTCATGATGGCTGGCTGTGTATCCAGGGATGAGCTCTCAGTAGTAGCTCATGGTGAAAAGACAGATTTGTCTCTCAAGAAGTGTACTTGTATTGCAAGAGGTTGTATTTCCCACCCCCAGCTCCCAGTCAGTCCTGTGTAAGCACACTTCAGAGCCCTGGCTTTGTTCACTGAAATGTTAGCAAAATTACTCCTTCTTTTGTGCTTTCCTGAAGAGGTGAAATACATATTCTGCAGAGAGATGTTTCTGCTTTCCTGGGAGGTTACCACCTGTTAGATGTTGATGCACCTAATGATCATTCTTCACTGATGTGTATGAAATAACGCTGAAGTTATGAAGAGACAACTGCAAAGCTGTGGCACATAATTTTAAGAAGCAGGAAGTGCTTCTGAAAGAAGCTAWAGGCACACCTATGCTGTTACAACGAATAACAATACAAAAATACTGCTTGTTGGACAGGTGCATGTCTACAGTAATTTACCTTCCCTGTAGTAGATTTGTTTAAAGCCTGCCCCAGGTTAAGGGAAATCTTTAGTTTGTATCCTGAGCCAGACAATGATTTGTACTTGATAGCCATAGTCACCTTCCTTGCATTCCTAAAGAGTCTGCTTACTATTCATTGAGTAAGATCAATGGTTGTCTTGGTGTAGGTTTAGAATTTTAGAGCAGATGCTTATTCTAGTTGCAAACTTGTTAACTTTATACTAAGAATATGACCTAGATATCTGTAAAAAGTGAGGTTCTCTGAATAGGTTACAGCAATGCAGGTGTATTTGTACACAAAGGTGCTTTATATCTGTTTGTAATGTACATTTTGACAGTTGAATCGCAGTGACAGCGACAGCTCCACATTGGCCAAAAAGTCTCTCTTTGTGAGAAACGCCACAGAACGACGGAGCCTGAGAGTTAAACGGGTATGTACTGTGTTACTTGGGTGTGGTTTAAAACAAGGTATGAGCAGAGAAGGAATACCAAATGACATAAAAGATATGCTTTCTTTCAAGTATCTCAGCAAAAGCAACACAAGTACCACAATTACATCCTGTAGTTTCATGTTGAAATCTCAACACAGTGTCTCAGTTCAATGTCATCCCCCCTCCAACAAGGCCTGTGTTTTTTCAGCTGTGCCTGAAGCCAGCAGCAAGGCACTGATGCTCAGCATAATGGTATTTGTTGTTGAACTTGAGCTTGTTGTTGAACTTGAGTTACTGTCAAAGTGACCTGAGTTGGAGAAGCTGACTATTACAAAGTGACACACATGGTGGCCTATGCTGCACGAAAGTCAACAACAGCAATATACATCTTGAGCAAACTTTGGTGAAGATTTCAAGGATTTAGATGTCCTTTTAAAGGGAATTTACTCTTCACCAAAAGTATTCAAATAGCAAAAGGATTGAMGGACACGAGAGTAAGATTATATTTCTCTTGCATGAAATGCCTTCCTATATAAATTTAGAGAGTTATATTTTTAACTGAATTGTAACTAGAAAAATAGTCCTTTGGAAGCTTTGGTACCAGGTAGTAGGATTGCATTTTGCATAAGAGAGAATAGTCTGGGATACCTAATAGTCCGAGATGGCTTCTCCTGACTTACTCATGCAAAAAATCACTGTGAAAGGACAGTAAATAATGTGAAATATGCTGAAGAAATGTATATTTACAGAATTTGTAACATTATGTGTTTGGTTTGGCCTTGAAAAAGCAAATATTTRCAAACATAAATAATGTAGTTGAAATCTGTGGGGAATTCTGTGTAGTGTTGTGTCTCCTGGCAGTGTCATCCAGGGATCAGGATGCTTTTTTTTTTTAATTTTAAATAAATTGGAGAATTTATTTTAGGTAGTGACGAAATAAAAAGTCCAGGATAGGTGAATTGCTTTACTTTGGGAAAAAGGATTGGTAAAATATTTGCCGAGCATATYGAGGCTTTTCTGACTGTCGTATGTCAAGCCCTACAGCAGCTTTTGTGGTGCTAATTGTTATTGTTCTGTCTCCCAAATGACTCAGCCTGTTTGCCAGCCAATCATGCGAAGAGCTGCGCAAGAATGCCCCATGCGCACTTCCCTGGACTTGGAGCTGGACCTGCAGGCATCACGCACAAGACAGAATCGTCTCAATGATGAGCTCCAGGCCTTGCGGGACCTTAAACAAAAGCTTGAGGAAATGAAAAGTAGAGGAGAAGCAGACCTTCCYCTGTGTGTGCTAGAGGATGAACGTTTCCAGAAACTGTTGAAACAAGCTGAAAAACAGGTATGAGCAGCATTCAGATGTGTGTGAATAAATATGCCCCTACCTTTGCTATAAATTTGTTAAAGAATTTGGTCAATCATGTTGAAAGATTTTTACAGAAGCTCACATTTGACTACCTACATCTCTGAATTATCTAGTGCAAACTGTTCCCTTATTGATCAATACTACAACATAAAATGTAGAATTTGAGGTAACATTTTCTTAGTGCCCTCTAAACACTTCAGCAAGTCACATTAGAATCTCTATTTTTTGGAATAATTGTTGTGGTTGGTTTAGTGAAATAGAGTTTATTTAAAAGCTAATTTAGAATTCTCACATCCCAGCCATGCTTTTACAGACTTGCATGTGCTTTGCAGTCAGCACTTGTAGAACTTGCAGCCAAAAGATGCTTGTAACAGGTTGTTATGATCTCTAACCACTAATCAGAGTAGTAGGGGCATGGGGAAAAGGCAGTAGCTTATTTCTTTATGCAGGACTACTTGTTTTAGTTTTGGCAAAGGAAAGCCAAATTCTGTTCTCTACGTGATGGTCTCCAGAACAGTACAAGTGTATATGCACTGCCAAAAGGCAGTGGGATGCCTCCATGTGAATAAAAGAAACATGATAGAAGAAAAAGATGCAACAGTGAGAAGTCGGAACATGGAAATTTCCAACAACATACATTAAAAAGTTAGATGTTGTGGGGTTTTTGGGAGGCTGTTCTGTTTTTTTTAATTGTTAGGGAGATCATTGACCGGAATAGGGCCCTAGAGAGGTTGTTGGAGGAGTTAAAAAAACCAACCAAGGAAAAAAAAAAAAGAACGAAACAAACCCACCCAATGTGCACAGTTGGAGATATTCCAAATCTAACTGGGCAAGACCTTGAGTACTCAGCTCTGGATCACCTACTGTGAGCAGGAGATTGAAGTAGATGCCTTCTGKAGCCCCCTTCCCATCCAAGTCAGTCAATGTGCATCAGTTTTCAGTGAGGGGAGGTTGTRAGTGATAGCCAGAAGGGATCTGTTCTCCTTAGATATTTATGGTTAGTAGAGTGTTTTGTTGCAGCAGGTTATTCAGAGTAGTAAAAATGGAAAGTTTGAACAAGGTGCAGAGGCCCTCCTCATATGTAAGCAATAGTTGTTGGTTTTGATGTTTTTTAAAAGCTAAATGTCATCCTAATATTTACATAAACAAAGCTGAGCTCTGAATTAGATGTTAGAAATTAGATACTCCACATGGACAAAAACTTAAACAAAAGCATCACAGGATCAGCAGATATCAAAAAGCAAATAAGACAGGAATTGCTAAGAAAATACTCAGAACAAAACAAATCATTGCTTTAGAATCTAAATGCTATTATGCCTGTAACATAAACATAGCTAATTTTTTATTTCCCTTTTTAAAGTGGATGATAGAACTACAGGGGGTCAACAAGGATGGTCGAGGGAGGAAACAACTTCCGTGTTAGAAATGGCTAAGTAGCTACAACTGAAGTCCATACAACCACGAATGAAGTGGAAGAGAGCAATTAATCATGGTGTTTTATTCTCCAAGAAATAGAGAATTGAACAGATGGCAGGTTAAATGCAAGCAAACACAGCACAACATTCAGAAACTGTAAAAATGTTTTCAACAAAACATTGAGTGCTGAAAATTTGCATAGGTTCAAAAAATTATGAATTTATTTATTTGCTAAACTCATTGAAGAAAAATTTATGTAATGATACCACATACTTCAAGAATTCCTTGATGATACCTTAGGAAACAAAACCTTTCCCCCGTATGTTCTCCCAGTTCTACATTTATGTCCTATTGGGTCTCCTGGTCCCTCTTTTGACATCTGCTGTTGGCTATAGGTAGTCTCTAAAATGACTRTAAAACGGTGGCAGGGTTTAGGGTGAACATCGATGAGTATTCTGAAAAATTCTTTTGCAAAATGGGGGAAGATAGTGCAGTGTTTAAACTCAGTGTAACTGTGTTGTTTTTTAGCATGTGAATTCATTATATTAATTTGATCTAAGTTTTAACCCATAAAAATAGTAGCTTACAGAAAAGTAGCATAGCTAAATTTATGTAGAAGTTCATAGTTTATATCTAATGCTGGATGCAGGATAGAAATTACAATTTCTGAGTGTTTAATTTAAAACTACTCCCATTCTAAAGCTATTCCCTCTAGAACAGAGTATGCCTCTGCAGCATTTCATATTACGAATCCTTTGGATTTGTGCTTTCAGCTGGCTCTTTCAAGGCAGGAGGTAGATTTGTCACATTTTGTATGGCTGGTATCAGTGATCAACACCATTACACACGCTGTGGTGAGGAATAAGGGTAATAATACACATTCCTTAAATACATGCAGGCAGTAGCACAACATTTAAGTGCTCCTTTCCAAGGTAAAAGTCAGAACAATGATCACAGTCACTCCACCTCTCTGAAGAGTGCTTACAAAGTTTCTAGAAATATTTCTACCCTTAAAATCATTGCAGCCTTCTCCCGTGGAGCAAAACAGCGCTGAGAGCACCGTACGGTACTGTCAGTGTTTTCTCTTGGGTTAGCAAAACACAGCATCCTAGAGAACTTTGTCATAGATTATTTCTTAGATCCTGCAGGCATTATAATGGCACAGACTAATGCAGCAGCTGGAAACGCCAGAGAAATTGAAAGAGTCTCAAGTGAAAAATGAAACCGCAGATGAGGGGGATGTTGAAAATCAGTGGCTGCTTGCTGGCATGCAGTTACTCTGCTTGAAGCCAAATCCACAGACCCCATACCTTCCCTCCCATTCCTACCATACTTTCCTAAGTGTAGCAAGTATGTAATGACCACTAATACCTGCAGATCAGAAAACAGAGGTAATTCTGTGCACCAGAAACATTTTCTCTTGTTCAGATTGGATGTTTGTAAGAAGTCATGCAGTATTTCAAAGCTTGAGTCTTAAATCATCATACAAGTAAGTTTTCAGATACCTAGTGTCCTCTGAAGTACTACTTCTGTTTATATCCTAAAAAGATTCCTGTAAATATCTTCTTTATTTCTTTTTAGTACATCTTCTATGTAGAGGTAATATGTAATTATGCCATTTATATCAATAAGTATATCCTCATCCCAATGATTTGGTGTTTAGCACAGTTAGTTTTTCTTTAGAGTCAGTTTCTTSTATACAGAAACCACAGAACAAGAAGACAGGAAATAGTCTTTCAGCTCTAATTTTGATAGTGTTTCTTCTTTGTCATCTTTTGCTAACTTAAGCTTAAACTAAGCCCAGATAGAGAAATTCCTGTTTGACACTTAGACTTGATAAGTGTTCATGAATGAGTGTTTTAAGGTTTCTTATAGAATATGAGATTATAGTGTTTGTTGCCAGGGTGGGGGTCTGTATCACCACAAAATGACAGATTTTTGGGACTTACTGAATGTGTGGCCATTGTATTAATGTACTTTTCTGCATTTTATATATAGCACTCAAGAAACATTATGTAAATATAACCTAGTCATGTACATACCTTCTCATATGCATATTCCTAGAGACATTGGGCTGAAAGCCAGGTTTCTCTTAGAGCATCCTRAAAATATAAATTGATTAAAAAAATGAAAAAGGGATACATGGTAATAGAGAGTATGAAAACAAAGAAGTAGCTATGCTCTTAACCTGAAATGCAGTAGYCACAAGAATCTCATGTATAATTAAGGACAGGATAAAATTATAAAATTTTGAAATACTGTATGTTCCGTGCTTTGATGATAAATATTAATTAGGGGAGCTGGTAAAACATATGACCAGTGATATATGTAAAATTAATTTAGACATTACCAATTGTAGATTGTAAATTTATGTTCACTAATTTATAAAGAAAACAATAGGTTCATTTTATTTTTGAACCATAACTATTTTGGAGTCAGGGACTGAAGAAGTTAACAGCAGTACAAGCTGACTGAATTTTGAGTGAGTTTTTGAAAGGGTGCTGCTCTTTCATGTAAAACACTTTCATATAGAAACCAGAGTGTGTTTCAACAGACAGAGGGTACCACTGTCCTGCTGGGAGCAGCTTCCTTATAACTACCCAGTATGAAACTGATAGTATGGACTAGCTCTTTTGAATTAGTTGGTTTTGTTGTTTTGGAGCCTACTGGGTTGAATTCAGAACTGAGATGTGAACTCCTAAGTCACAAACCAGCTTTTAATATTGCTGTTTCAGGCTTGCAAAGGTATTTTAATTTGAGGTAACAAACAGCATTTTCAGGTCTCTAAAGAATCAAAAATTAAACTCTCTACAACTTTGTAATTGTTTAAGAATGTGAACTGCTTCTATTGAATTTTGATGGCTGACAAAATTCAAAATACAATAAATAACATTTGTCCATCAGCCCCTGCAGTCTAGAAATGAAAGTACTGCCCACACCATGCACCCCACATATTATAGGGGTGACAATGCATTTGTTACAGAACTCACCTGTGTATGAACCAGGGTCATTTGTCTAAGAATTCCAGGTGACTGCTCACCTAAAAAGATCTGCTGTTCAAATTACTGGATATTCAGAAACCCTTGATAAAGTTTTTTAAAGCCAAAGCATGGCTATTAATAGCAGTCTTGCTRCTGAAATGGTGGGTGGCATAGCTACAGCTGTCCTGTTGATGCTTAGTAAAGACAGAAGCAATAGTACCAGCAATACTGAGGTACTGAGGAACTGAGGAAATTCAGTAACTTACTGCGGGGTTTGGAGCCACTCAACATTTTGTTACCACTGGTGTTCTGTTCACTTGCCTTGGCTTTTACACCTCTACAATGCAGATGAAAGCAGTGAGTCTTATGTGCAAAATAGGCGCCATGTCTATTAATAAAGGAACAGAAGTTCATGTTCCTTGCTAATATGGTCAACAAAACTTGAAAGCGTATTTTGAGAGCACAGCTTCCCTATTTTTCTGTCAGTCACTTTAAAGTAGGTATAGGCAATTCACCTAAGAGCTTTCATCAGGAAATAAAAATATTTTACATAGGAAGTGAATCAGTGGCTTCCAGTTCTAAAAAGATCCTTGGCTAGACAACAAGTGTTCATACAAATTTATATATTGTCTAACTAGAGCCTTAAGAAGTACCAGTATTTATAAAACTTAGTAGCCAGCCACCTATTTATTTTTTTTTTTTTAGGAAAAGCCCTGTTACCTTATTTCATGGCCATGGCTTTGGCTTGTGATGCCAGTCTTTTTTCTTGCTGACCTTTTATATAGAGATTATCATAGATTAATTTAGGTTAGAAAAGACCCTTAATATAATTGAGTCCAACAGTAAACCTGACACTACCAAGTGTTTTGCTTGACACAGAAAAATCTCTCACATCTTTGAAACAAGTAGTTGTTCATTATCAGCAAAATACAATTGCTTTTCTTGATACAGGCTGAGCAGTCAAAAGAAGAGCTTAAACAAGGTTTAAGTGCTGAGAAATTGATGAGGAAAGCTTCTAAGGATGTGTGCCGGCTACGGGAGCAGAGCCAGAAAGTGCCACTGCAGGTGCAGTCATTCAGGTATGGCTTGTTCTTCTTTCCATACTCTTTTTAATGTAGTGAAATAACATGAACTATTTCTAGATATAATGAGACATGCCCTGTAGTATTAGTCAAAAGTCCACAAGGTTTTGACTTGCCAGAAACATCACACATTTCTAACATGGCTCTAAGTTGTAGTTTCAGAGGACCAGGCCTCGGTACCCTGCTCGTGTGGCAGTTCAGTGTGTGTGAGGAAGCCTCGTGGGCTGTCAGAGCCCTGTGTGACATCTGCCGTAGGCAGGTACACGTGTGACTGTTGCTGTGCCTCACCTCACCCACTGCAGGCTGACAGTGGGCTTTAAGTCTTGGGATCTCTTCCAGTGATGGCACATGCCTGAAACAAATCACCCCTCAAGGAGACGTAGGACAGGATACTCTCATCAGGAAACTCATTAACTACTACTTGTGTCTTGCTCAAGACTTAGTATGAAAGAAAGATCTTGAATCGCTCTCCCATTTTGTTTCCCTTCTTTAGATTGTGGAGCAACTGATTACCTGAGGCAGTTAATGAAGTGTTCTTGCTTAGCATAAGCCAAAACGAATATTTTTTTATTTTACACCTTAATTCTAGCTGGTCTAAATTCCTTAAAGACTGGTCAGTAAGTGGCAGCCTGAAGGCCACTTTCTGTATAAAAATAAATATAAATCTATTGATTGAAAAATACAGTGCTTACTCATGCACATAGAAACAGTACTACAAGTTAATTTGGTTTGTTTTGTCAATAAAACACATTTTTAAAGTTTGAATTTTGGATTCCTTTATAGGAAATTTAAGTCAGCTGCTAATAAATGTGAGGGTTTTTTTTCTTAACTATTTTTCATGACCAGTTGGTGAAATCCATAAGCAAGTAGGGGCCTGTGAGACATCATGTATTGTAAATCACAGCTGTAAGTGATGCAGAATCAAAGCAAGAGAGAAAGGAAAGGGGTTCCTCAGCTAAGACGTGTTACAGCTGAGTTATTTATCTTCAGTTTGAAATTCAGAGCATCTTGAAGATTTCACTTTCTGTGCATGTTTTGAGAAGGGCTTTTGGTTGGTGCTGGTCATTTAACAGTCATCACAGACAGACTGCTGCCTAAATCTGCAGGAACATGTAATAGTGCTTAAAACATCACTACCCTGCAAGAAAGGTATCAAAAGGCTCCATTGGCCTTTAATTTCTAGTCAACACACAACTAGGAAGAAAAAGCCAGTTTAGGTTGATTTAACTCTGAGCTACTGTTTTGCATGGGAACTCATAATTTCACCAGTGGAAAACATGGTTTAGTCATCTGGATCAATACTTAACCTCCTGAGGCTGAATTATACGTGCCTTGCTAGGTGGACTTGTCTGAGGCCACAGCACTGTAACTAATCACAGAGAGACATTTTTAAAGCTCTGAAGAAGACTCTTCTGAGCTTTGATTTTTAAGCCCCCAATACTTCTGCTTTCTAGCCTGCTGCTAGGCAAGCCTGTGTAAACTTGTTATGCTTCAGTTATGTCTCAGTTCATAGGTGACAGAAATGGTAACAGCACAGGAGAAGCAACTGGAGAATGGGTTGATAATTCTGCTTCACTGAGTCTTGCCCAGACACAACTATTCCCCCCTTGCCCTTTTCCCATGTCAGGATAAAATGATTTATTTTGCCTTCTCATCCCCCCATTGAAAATATCATCATAGGAAATTCAGTGACTGGAACAATATTTCAGTCTTATTATTGCAGTTATTAATGAACTACTGATTTTCCTCTCTTTCAAAATTGGAACTGCTTTTTACATAAATCTGCCTAAGAAGGTAATTGTGTCAGAATGCTGCATTTGTTGTAAATAAATTTTCTGTGTTTTTCCAAACCTGTGTTTTAAAGAAGTATGCTCTAACATTAGCAATTCTACAGCAGATGACATTGGAGTGATGCTACAAATGGTAAAAAAATCTCTTGTTTTCTTTCTTGTTCTCTTTTCTAATTTCAGGGAGAAGATAGCATACTTCACAAGAGCAAAGATCAGTATATCAGCCCTTCCAGCTGATGATGTATAATTATTCATTTTCATTGAAGTGTTTTTCCACTTGTTCATCTCTTTTCAGATGAGCTTTGTAGTTCCAGTGATGTACTTTCAAAGATCTTCTATTTTACATTCTCTATTGATATGTTTATTTGTAAAATATAGTGGACTGAATTGTTATAAGCTTAAAAAATAGAAAAAAAAAAAAAAACCCAACAAACAGAAAACCAAAGTAGATTCATTTTGGTATACTCATGCTGATTTTGTACAGTTTGTGTGTATCCCATCTGTGTTTTTATTTTGTAAAGGTGGAACAAAGGCAGTACTGAGCATGTATCCTGTTGAACTGCACTGTGTTGAGAAAAATTATGTTCAACAGATAATTGTTTATCTTTTCACTATTTTCGTGTGAGCAGACTGTGAAGATGGCTGTTTTGCCATGCAATACTTTTGTAGAAGAGTGTAACTTTTATAGTTTAAAGTTAAACACAAGCACAAGCTCCTTTCTAAAACATCCAGGCTGCCTCACAAAAGCTGCTGATTAGATTCATCACCCACATTGTAATTTTGTTTCTGAAAATAAATTTCTTCTGGTTTGGTTTTTTAATACTTAGTAGGAAGACACAGAGTTCAGAGTTTAGTTTTGTGAATGTACAGTACTTTAACCTGCACTAAAAGGTTTCTTGCATCTGCAGGAGAGTGAGAAAGCAAGGCAGACAAGTAACCCTAAAAACTTACTTTGAGACTACCAAAWGGGGCAGCTGCTTTTTGAACAGGATGAATCAAATTCATAATACCAGCATTGAAGTCAGAATAGTTATACCCACTGTGCACTTAAAAATGAGAATTTCTCTCTGTTAATCCTTTTTCCTAGGGGGCTGTCTGATTGCCAGCTAGGAATACATGAAGGAGTGTGCTAGGTTTACAGATCTGAAGATGCTTCATTAAAGTATTGKTACAAAAAAAAAATCTCTCACATGCTAATTCAGATATCAGAAGTCCTCTTGGTAAGGTAAACCCTTTCTGAAAAAGAAAAGCTCCTGACTAGAAGTCTGCACAAATTTCAGTACAAAAAATAACAATTTTTAAAATATACAATTGACTCTGTATGCAGTTGRGGGTGCACAGGTTTAATGAATAGACATGGAATATGTCTTACTTGCTTCTTCCTAGCAGGCTGCTTCATCGGAAGGCAACTTGGATGCCTTCTGTTAGAAGTTCAGAACATTGAATRTAGGTGTTGAAGCAGTCCTGTCTTGGTAAAGCAGTTGGGGTCAACTTCTGTGGGTATGGTGTAAGTAGGTGGATATTGCAGAGGACAGAAATMTTTCATTTTCTACATAGTGTGAGGTACTCAGATGTATGTCATTCAATAGCTGCAGTTTTCCTCCCCAAGCATAAGTCCCATTGCCCCATGGACTTCAAGTTTCAGAAATGCTGTAATTACTTGGTGAGCAAATTGAAACAATGTAACCACAATATGGCAGCATCTGTCTTAGATTCAAAGTGACAATTCTGTGATGAGAGGTCTGTGTAACACCCAAGGGTTTTCTTATGCACAAATACGTAAGTTCACTAGAATATAAAGCCACTCATGCTATTTTGACCAAGATGACTGATTGAACATCCTTTATGAATGCCCCATTTGTTTTTTGTGTCTTGGGTTTGAGATAACGTTCATGTTTGAAAGGTCAATTAAAAGAAAAAAAAATCTGGAATTATTTAATGGAGAGGTGAAATGAATGAAGCTTGACAGTTTCAACTTCTCAATTTTATTATATAAGGTGGTTGTAGAATGACGTTTAGAGGTCTACTTTATGATTTTTCTTTTATTTATTTACAATCTTAATTATGTTCTGTTTAATATAGTTCAGTTCTGGCCATAAAAATATTTGTCATGAAGAATGCTATGTGAAAAATACTTTGAGGTGTCTAAATTCTTGCCCAGGTAGCTRGTTTTTGTCAAGTGTTGAATAATTTTTTTTAAAAAAAGTCTTATTGTCTGATTTGTAAGCATAAGGTTAAGTAAAAACTTCATTATTGCTGGCTTCAACCTGCAAAACTCCTTTAAAAATGAGAGACAGACATATTCATGCTCTTTGTTTTCCAGATTGGTAAAATTGAACATATTTATAAGCAGCTTTTAACAATTCAGAGTTTGGAGTTTGAGGGTTTTTTTACTAATTCAGCTTATCACACTTGAAACACTCAATAGAATAAGCTAAAAACAATRTATACAAGTAAACTCCCATCATCTTAAAGTGATAAATATTGCTCTTGCAGTGAAATTTACTCTGCACAGCAGGGTATAACGAATGTAATTAGTTCTTTTGCCAGGTACCAATGTCACTGCAGTTGCATATATCAAAATGTAGATATTACTGGTACAAGAATATTTAGCCAAATGAGCAAAGATTAGCAGAAATTGTAATAGAACACAAATCAAATAATTTTAAGAATATTTTTCTTTTTACTGTTGCTATGTTTATACCGTATTAAATATCAAGTGCTCAGGACTGAACTAAATATTTAATCAGGTTATATTCTGAATGTGTTTCTGTTCTAATTTTGTCTGTAAGAGTATGCAAGTACTTTACATAGATTAACTTGTCTCTGCACTTTTTCATGTGTTTCAGTGATTGGAAAATACATTTTTTTAACAAAGCTCTTTTCCAGACCAGTGTTTTATTTAACTCTTTTATTGCTCTTCTGTCTCTTTACATGGTCTTTGCAGAAACTGATGGCTGCTACAGCTTTGTCAATGTAAAATCATGGYGATTTATAGAACGTTCACATCAATCACTGACAGCTCTAAGGATGGTTGTATGGAAACTGATTCATATACTTGAAGTTAGTTCTTTACATTCATGAAGGAAAACGGCACCAGCAATGAACACGGTTGAGTCTCCTCCAGACATCTCATTATTGCTCAGAAATACTGGCTTTCCCTAGAGAGAGAGAGGGAGATTGGGCAGGGATAGAGGTGGTCATAGTCTCTCTCTCATGAGGGAGAATCTTGCATTACATGACATTATGTCTGAGAACATTGAGTTTACTGTGAAGGATACAGGCCCAGCAAACTTCACTCAAGGTTATACTCAAGGCTTTTGTATTCCATGTTGAACTGGCACTACAAACTCTTTCAGACTTCAACTAATATTATTTTGTAAAAAAAATACATTGTTTAAAGCAGCCCCATTAGGAGTTCTGCCATTTAAAATATGGTCAAGTGTCCATGCAAGCCTAGAGAGTAAAAACGTTATACTCACAAAAACAGAATCTGCCATTGATCAGACTTGGAGCTCATGTAATTAACATTGGAAGCAAGTAGTGATTAAAGGAACTATTTGGTAAGAAAGAATCCCATCCCCGGTCTTGTAAACAGTAACCTGTCTGTTCAGCAGGTCTTTTTTTTCTGTAATGCAAGCAAGAAGCAGGACAACCTGATATCTGCCCTTTTAAAAGTCTTCCATTTCCAGTTTCCAGATGCTGATCTTGTGTATCTGCCATTGCAAACTGCTCTGGTAAGTGATGTCAGGTGATAAGCAGATTGTGGAGAGGAGTAGAGATGCCCCTAGAATTAGAAAAAATCCACCAAAGCAATTACTGAACAGTGCATCCCCTATTTCCCATCTGGGCAGAATCTCTGGGCTGTCTTCATCCCAGATCTCCTGGATTATAGTGTAAGCAAGGGACAGGGTCTCCAGCCATCACGTGGAGTATTCCTCCAAGTTGCAACAACTTTTTTTAGCTTGTGCTCCATATCCTCCATCTTTAGGCAGTCAAAACCAAAAGTGGAGATCACAAGGCTCAGAAGTCCTAGTCCTTTTGATGTAAATACTAAAATCCTGGAAATCTTGAATTCTAGAAGCAAAACTAGGAAAAAATAAAAGTCTTTACATCTTTACACTGTTCCTACATTGTTTGCCAGAGTCCCATGCTCCAAAGCTCCGGTGCATTTAAGTCTGAGATTTTTCCAGCCTGGTAAGTACTTACAGGTACCAGTTAAAATCCATCCTAGCACAGACAACAGAAATCCAGCTAACTGTAGCCTGTGTCTGTCTGCCAAGTTCATTTTTTTGCAGTCACAGAAGCACCAAACTATTAGCTTTTGAAGGCCCTGTTCAGCTTAGTTCTTTGTCATACTCTGTCATACATAAGCAAAAGTCAAAACAATGCTTTATGAAGCGTGAAATACTTGTCCCTCCTGCTTTGTGTTGCCTGGTTCCATATGAAGTGTTTGGGGGACTGGGAGGTGATACGGTAAACCAGTAGCAGAAGGATGTGGCCAGAGCTGGGCTCACTTTTCATTTTGGAGTTGCTTTTTTAAGAAAAGCATATACTTGGCTTTCCATCAATCAGCTAAAGCATTACAGAAGTACTGCTAGTTTTGGCTTCTCACAGTTTGTTTTTAAGTTTTAATACCATATTGACACGCTCCCACTTACAGCAAACGACACTGTCTGCTTTGTGGCCAGTTAAATGTCATATGTTTAAAGTCAAAGATTATACAGCAACATGTTCAAACATGAGTGAATGGAACTTAAGGGACCTTGGATAAGATGCATAATGCCTCATGACGTGTGTCAGAAGATAGAGCTACACTGGTTTTTAAAGCAGCATTTCTCAGCCTATTTTTTTGGTATATAAAGTATGCAGGTGCCAGAAACGTCTAGAATAACTTGTGTGGCAGTTTAATGTGGCAGACTGGGCAAACACAGCTTGCTGGGTCTGGGGCACCCACACCATCATATCCCATGCACAAAAAAAAACAGCAGCAAAGCTTGATACCATGTCAGAAACCTGCTATTTCCAAATAGACAGAAAAAACATTTGATACAATGCAGGTATTCAGACTGTTTAGGATAGGAAATCTCTTAAGTTCATATGTCACTGCATCAGTCCAGTGGAAAATTGCAAGGGAGTCAAACTTTGGGGCTTATATCATTGGTTGCATAAAAAAGGAAGCACATTTTGGTTAAAAGCCAAGCTGTAAGAGAACATACACATTCATTTTCAGGATTTTACAGTGCAGTTAAGAAAGCTAAAGAAYCTTTCCTATGCAGTCTATGAAAATGCCAGCATTTTGCTGCAATTTTAAGCAGCTCCACAGGTGAGAAAACACACCACCTTCCATTACCAGTTTATGAGAAAACAGACAAGTTTAGGACGTCAGCTRAAGTAAAGAATCCTTTGAATTACTACCGGAACAAGCTTCTGGCTTGCACTAGGTTTGGAAAAGATAGGACAGTATTTCAGTACTGCTTAAAACCTTGCATTTTAAGGTCTAGTTTCAGTTTCCAAATGTTGACACTGATCCTGTTCTTCTGCTACTGCATAATGGACTGAAGACAGATGGACATCAGTGGAACAGATTGTGCAATTAAGTAGGGATCCTCCTAATATAAGACAAAATCCAGCAAGCCAGCCAACAAACAATGCTTCCCCAAAATCCCACCTGGGAACAATGTCTGGTATATTCTCATCCCAAAATTCCTGGACTGTGGAGTGGGCAACCCAGGAAACTGGGACAATAGCTGTAATCCCCGATAGCCAGAAGAACATTCCTCCAAACAGCAACAACCGTTTCTTTTGTTCCTGTTGTCTTTCAGCAATTTTCAAACAGTCCAACCCAAATCCCGAGAGCAAGAGGCCCAAAAGCCCTGATCCATTGGAAAAAAACATCAAAATCCTAGAAATCCTGAGCTCTGGAGGTAAAGCTAGGAAAGAATCAAAGTCCTTGCATTGCATTCCGCCTTCTTCCTGGACAACACAAGCTTGCCAGAGTCCCATGGTCCAGATCTCCAGTTCATTTAGTTCCAAGTTAAGATTTTTCCACTGGGGTAGATAGGTGGTGAGACAGGACAGGACCCATCCCAACAGAGAGACCAATATGCCACTTAATTGCATCACTGGTTGATAGACCAAGGCCATTATAAGAGCAGAGCCCTGAAAGCTTGAGGAGATAGGTCTCGCCAGCAGTTCTGTACCAAATGCTACCTTGAGTGATGGTGGAAGCTGTGATGATTTTAGGTCTCTGCTGCCTCAAATATAAGCCCTTGCTATTAACCCTTTGCATGCTCTGAAACACTTTTTTGTTCTTCACAAATATAAAGTTTCACATAAAGGACGAAGGACTTCACTAAACCATGAGTTAGGCTTTCCGATAAGGATTTGATCTGTTACCTTCCAATTTGCTTGGTAAAATTATATCCCAATGCCTGATGATTACAAGCCTGAGGATGAACAAAGAGGGCTCTATGACCCCTCACCCTAAAACACAACAGAAATCTTTGTGCTTCAATGTGGATTAATTAGATTTTAAGTGGTGATAAAAAGGTAGCTCTGTGTGCAACAGGACTTCATTGTAATAGCTAAATTTGAGATTTCAGGGATGTAAATCAAGGCCTTGTAAAGAAAGGTAGACTGTTTGCCTATAATCTTTATTCTTAGACTTCCTCAACATACATAATGGCTTATCTTCCACTGCCCTGTTTTATGTCCCCAGCACTGTAAAAGACGCTTTGTAAAAGATCCTTATGTTTCACATTTTCTACATTCATTTCTTTTAAAATGGGCTTTGTTTTGACTGACTCTTAAGGGGAAAAGGAGACGGGTATGGTGAAAGTACCGTAGAAAATGAAATCCTAGACATCCCTCCACCATAATGAACCTGGGCAGATCATCAGCCAGCGTAAACTTAACCTGCCCCAGGACTTCAGCAACACCACGGTAGCAGCTTACAGCAGCTCAGTGTCCCATTTCCCAAAGCCCATGTCCCAGATGGCACGGAATGTATTCACTTAGATACTAACAACATTTGGCACTCAATGCTCCCTGGGCCAGGAATGCCTAGTACACCTTTCTGATCAAAGCAAGATACCATTATATCATTACCCCATTAGGAAACCCTGTTTTTTCCTGCTCTCATGTCAACTACACTTGTGCTTGTCTATAGGGTCAGAAGAACATCTGTTTGCTGTTCCCCTTCCCACATGTAACAGCACAGGAAGGAGCTGGGAAGCAGCTGAGCAGCATGAATACATCCACGTGTATGACCCAGAGATGTTTTCAAGTCTTTCTTGACTTCATTTCCTAGATGTGATAATGTATTTATCTGTATATTTTAATTCTCAGTTGTTAGAATGGGTCATGTGATGGGAAAACATAACACTGCTTTTGAAGGTTTCCAAAATCCTGAAGGGTATCATTAAGAACTGTCACTATGAGATGATCTCTTCTTCATACAGTCTTAGAAATACAGATTTTTATCTTCTTCATAYAGATTTTTATACAGTCTTAATTTCTAACCCTTGAGGTTTTTTTCCTGTCACAAGCTGTAAAGAACCAACAACAACAACAACCAAACAGAAAGATGATTCATCTCTCTTTTTCTTGTGTACTAACCCATTAGTTTAACAGCTTATACTTGACAAAAAAATTACCATGCACAAGACCAGAAGTCACCAAGGATGTAACTGACAGCACAGGAAACAAATTGCTGCAAGCAAGCGTGTAACTTTGGCCATCCACAGGCATCTTTAGGCAAAAGAAAAACAATACAGATCAATCCCACATTCATACATTCATTCATTCATTCATTCATTCATTCATTCATTCATTCATTCATTCATTCATTCATTC